AGGTCACAATGTTATTGATCAAATGATTTATTAATTGTTACAATATAAAACTTTTTTTTTCTGCCACTTCTTAATCACAATCAAGTTTCAAATGCATTCTAAATTGTTGATTAATTTTGATTATCTCCCATTCAAAATTAAGCAACTAAATCAGTTGAAAATATTTTAACTTTTGTGAAACTTAATTTAAATTTTGGATTCACACTGTTAATTGTTACTATTTGAATCTGAAATTTAAATTGCAATTTGATTTGTATCTTATTAATATAAGCGAGAAAAACAAAGTTAATTGTTGCACCAGCAATTTAAATCATCAATTGATTAGTTACACAATTAGAAGACATAGAAAAATTAACCTTGATTATTGACAGTTAATCAGTTAAATGGATTAACAATCAAAATTCACTGGATTAAAAATTATTTAGATGAATAATTAACTCTCAATATACTTGATTGTCTGGTCTCATGTTGAGAATTGATTGCAAATGATTAATAAATTGTTAACTTAATCAACCTGAATTCTGGTTGTCTGATTAACTAATAAATACTTTTTTTTGCTGAATATGATTAAACTTTAATCAATGAATTATTATTTTACTTTGATTACTGGAGATTTGTAATTAAATATTCAAATGGTAATTAGTTTACTTTATTTTCATAATGATTAAGATGATAATCTGAAAGTTAATTGTTATCATTATTGTTGTGGTTCACCTTCAATTTTTATTAGATAATAGCAACAATTTACTGATTATCCGGTTAATTCAATTGTAAATCTTGTATTAACATCACTTTTCGTGTTGATTATGATGTTTAATTGTTACAAAATTACAATACAAATTGTTATCTTAAGCTTACAATTAATCACGATTAAGCTTTGGTTAATTAATTATGAAAACAAAAGCCACAAATCAAAATTATGGATAAACAATTAGTTGATTAATACCATTGGTAGTAACCAAATCAATTACTATGAGTTAATCAATTATCAGGATAAAATTAAACTAGTTAATTGTAAGCAATTAAGGATAATAAAAAAAAAAGTCCAAACCTACACATTAACAATTAGAGTCAAACAAAAACTATTTTTAATCATTTGTGTTGATTAACGTTTGAGAATCAAAGTAATTTGTCAATTCTGATTATGATTAACTTACTAAATTATAACAGTTAAAACTGATTAGTCAATTTCTCACGACAATTTAATTAACTTGGGTTAATCAGTTAACAGTAAAGTAACAAATGGACAACATATCAAGAAAATGAGATGACCATTTAAAATTGAATTAATCACAATCATGATGATAATCAAGTTTGTTAAACTGAATTTAAATTATGATTTAATAAGAAAAAAAGTTTCTCTAACTTTATTCAAATGTTCAGAACTTTTTTATTTTATTCATTCACAAGTCGAGATTAAGATTAATCTCAATGATTATGAACAATATGTGTTGGTGTCGTGAGAATGGGTTGACTTTATCATCATCATCATCATCATCGAGTTAATCATAATTATCTTAATCATCATCTTCCTTTTATTAATTGCTCGAGTTTCTGTTAATTGTTTCATTTTGTGTTCACATTCACAAGATGATTATTCAGTTGGGTGGGATAACCAGATAACTATTATTAACTTTTCCATCCTCATCTCCATCTTCATCTTCATCTTCATCATCATCATACCCTAAGGGGAAGATAAAGACGGTACGATCAAAAGATGAAGATGATCTTAGAACTTACAACTCGAAATCTTAATCTCGAATTTATCTTTTCTACTCTTTATCCACCTCTTCATCTTCATCTTCATCCTTTTCTCATCATCTTTATCATCTTATTCAATTCATTACTCAACAGGAGCTCATCATCATCTTAATCATCGATAACATTTAAATCACCGTTAGTTAATTGCAATTAACTTTTTTTTTTCTTCATTCAAATTGATCAATTTTATTATAACAATAAAACTTTTCAACTTAACAATAAAACTTTTTCTTGAGCAAACTTTTTGTTGGCTAATTGTAACAATTAACAGTTTGATTGTGATCAACTTTTGATTATGATCAATGTGATTTAATTTTAGTGTATTAATGATGATTTTTGATTTACTAATTATTGGGAAAAAAACAAGATGATTAAAACAAAATATTCATTACTTTGTATTCAATCAACATGTTTACCTAATTACTTTGAACATTTTCGCGATTTTAATTGTGCTCAAAGCAATTTATCGTGATTAGTTAACTATACTATGATTAAAATACGGTAGCTAATTGTGATTTTGTTTTTAAACATTATTTTAATTCACAATTTAATGTTTAATCATAAAAAGCAAAATTATGATTAACGTAGGTTGATATTTGATTGTGTTGATTTAAAATTAAATGGTAACCACGATTTTCATGATTAACTTTTTTTAAATTGTTGTTGTTGAGCAAAAATTTTAATCAATTTAATTCAATCAACAATCAATTGATTAACCCAAATCACTATTATATAATATTAACTAACTTGATTGTCTTTAACTGTATTCAAAGTTAATTGTCTGTTTGGTAATCGATTAATTATCTTGATGTAACAATTAAATATTAACTGAAATGAATCAACAAAACAAGAAGAAAACAATTAATTTCAATCAATTTTTGATTTGATTGTTAATTATAAAACTCACTTCTTCCCAATTAACCCAATAAAAGTTAATCATTATGTCCAAAAACAAATTGATTTATATAAATAAGTTAATTAATCAGATGAATAATAAATTTTCAAGGTGTAATCAAATTGCCAATATAAAACAATCAAGTTAACAATTAATTGTTTCAGTTCATGATTTACTAATCATTGAATAATTATCACAACTAATAACTTTATCTGTCCACTAATTGTTGGCTTATTTAATTTTTTCATATTCTGACCATGATTATGATTGGGTGATTGTTGTGATTTACTGATTGTTGATTACAATTAAAGTCCATTGGTAAACTTATCCTTGACCATGAAAACAATTGAATATGTTGATCATATTGTTGAGTTTGATTGTTGATTGTTGACATTGATGATCGAGAAATTAAATGAACGAAATTTAAGAAAACAATTAACTCTCTCTCTCTCTCTCTCTCTCTCTCTCTCTCTCTCTCTCTCTCTCTCTCTCTCTCTGTTGATTGTTACATTGGTAAGTGATTTAAATTGTTATCATCTTCATCTTCATTGTTATATCGTATAACCTTTACACAATCAACTAAATTGCAAATCAATCAATCAAACAATTTAATGTAATCAACCAACAAAGACAAAAACAAAACCTTGTCCAAGTTTCAAATTGTGACCACAATTAGTTTCAAACAATCAAATTTAAACCTAATTGTCCATGCACACTGACATAAACAAACAATTTACAAATTGTTTATGGTCATTTGTTACATACAAGTAAATCACAATTTAGTTAATTGTTGTTGTTGTGGTTTTTTTTGTTCACCATTAACCTTGAAAGTGAAAACAAAAAGTTTCAATTAACTTGTGATGAGTTGAACAACAATTAACAAATCAATTGAAATACACAATTAGCACAAAAACTCATCAACACACAACAACAATTAACTAATCAAATAAATTAATTTCTCATTTTGATTAATTGTTAACCTAAAAATTTAAATTCTAATTGTTATTAACCTGGAAACCTTTTTATAACCAACTTCTGGTTTTTTTTTATTCTGCAAACCAATTGAATTAATTTAATTATAAATTTCTTAATTTTTGATTAATTAAAATAAACACAACGGTTAACCAATTAAAACATTTAATTAGGCTGAAAGTCAAAGGTAAATCAACATCAACAGGAAACCCAATGTGTCAACCTAAATTGCTGGTCACTCTCTGGTCACTCGTTATTACAATTAACTCTCCAAGAGGTAAAATGATTAACCACAATTAATTTAAATAAATTACACATAATATTTGATTCACTTTTAATTGTTTTAATCATTGAACGTTGAAGTAAAAAAGTAATTAGGTTACAATTAAAAACTTTGATTTGGTTATCATTATGATGTCCAGTCTAAGTTTTTTTGGCTTCCGGTCATTTTTTTGTACTAACCTGATGTGATTTAATTGTTAATCATTAATAAACTAACTAACCAACAGGAGGTAAACAAGACAATACAATTAATCATCACAATTTGTTTCTCTTTTTGTTGATTGTCTTGATCAATTGATTTCCAGTGATTTAAATTAAACATTTTCTAATATCTTAATTGATCAACCTAAATTTACAAAAGGATTTGATATATTGATTGTTACAGTTGATTGTTGATTGTTAATTGTAATTGTCAAATTGGGTGGTGGTGGTAGTGGTGGTTAATGTTAATCACTTTTGATGAATGAATCAACAATCAAAACAACAACAACAACAACAACAAATTAAACACATTCAATTTAACCAGAAAACCAGTTAAACTGTAACTAATTACAATCAATTGAATTTTCATTTTTGATTGTAATAAATCAGATAACATTGTTTTCACTTTCATAATATTAAATTGTTTGATTACCAACTAAACAATCAAATAATAAGTTAATCATCATCATCATCAACACCATCAACAAGAAAAAAAAAACTTAAAACTTATCAATAACAATCAAATCAAACATTGATAATCATCAATAATCAACTTAATCAGCTTACAAAGTTTAAATCTGACCAAATGTAAATCTAATCACAATTAAAAGTCATTGATTTTTTAAACACCCAACCAGCAAATTGATCTCATTATCCAGCCAATGATTAAGCTAATTGTTAATTCAAGTTTCCAATTACTGGTCACAATCCCAATGACTAATTGTAAACCTTTAAATTGTCCAATTGCATAAATCAAGAGCTAAATTGTTGAGCAAATGATTAACAGTAAAAAAAAAACTCAAAGGTAAATTTGGATTCCAAATTTTGGAAAGTTTTGTTTTTTCATATTCTTTACCTGGAAACTTTTACTCACCATGTTCATGATGAGGATGATGATGTTGATGATGATAAAGATGATAACCAGGTTCAAGAGAGTGCGCAAGAGTGAACCAGGAACGTAGGATGATGATGATGATGAGGATGATGAGGATGATGAGGATGAAAAACTTGCTTCCCAGATGATAACTTGTTGCTGTTGAGATGAAAACTCAGAAAGCAACAGAATCATTTTCAATTTATATTCTCATTTTCATGACAATCTATTTAATCATAATCAACAGACACAATTAAAAGTTTATTAATCCATCTAAAATGTTTCATTGATCTTTATTTGTTTATTAATTGTTGTACACACACTGCCAACTAATCAGTTGATTAATTGTTCACTAATTGTTACATATAAATTGTTTCCTTCCTTTGGTTAATTTTGTTTTCTGTGTAACTTTGTTCATCTTTTCATTCATATTAATCACTACCAATCAATGTGTTCAATTTTGGAGTAAAAATTAAAGTTAATTGTTGCCTGTAAATAGATGTTCATATTTATATGTATATGAATAAATATCTATGTGTCTAATTAGTTAATCATTAATTATTACACCTTAATTTACTTAATTGTGGTCGGTTAATTTGTTTTATATCAAATATGAGTCCACGTTCCCGTTCAGTTGACTCAAGGCAACCTCAGAACAATTTAATTCTTGCTCGTAATTGTTTGGCAATTACTTTCATCAGGGATCCTAATTGTTCACAATTAACAGGCTCATCGTCTTTATCTAAATCATCATCATGTAAAAGATGCTCTGGATTAAATTATATCGATGATAATGTTCATGAATCAGGTGAATCATTTGATGAGAAAACAATTTCTGAAGATGCGATTTGTATAACAGCCTCATCATCATCATCATCTTCTCATGAATCCTCACCTTTCACCTCATTATCATCATCATCAACTTCATCTTCATCTTCACCACCCCAACAACAGTTAAATCAAAATGAAACTGAACAAATATCAACAATTAACACAACAAATTGTGATAATAATAAGACAAATTGTTCATCACTTTTATCAACCACTTCTGATTTATCCTCATCACCAATCTCATCCTTAACATCATCCTTATCACCACCTTGTACATGTCCAGTCCAATCTAATTCCACCACCGCTCCTGCCCCACCCTCTTCATCGTCCATCGATTTCTCTGGTCTAGAACTTTTCACTTCATTCGTTGAGGCCAATTACCGATGCTTCTGGAATCCGTCCCTAGTTTCAAGTGTCTCGTCCCTTAATTACCGAGGATTTTTACTTCCCGCCACCATAATCATGATCGGCTCCGAATACGCTTATGAGGTTATACGAACAGCTTATGCTCGGCGGATAATCCGTCCACCCACAGGCTATTTGATACAATCTTTAGGTAAGTCTCCTAATTGTCATTCCAATCAAGTAAATCAACAAGGTGAATCCATAGTAATATTATTGGTAAATAATGTAAACCTAATTTAGTAGAAAAAAGAGAAAAAAAGTTTTCGAGTGAGAAAAACTTTCTTTTTCGGTAGTTTCCTTGTTCTGGCCATTATGGTTAACTGAACGACCCTGAGTAGTAAAGTTAATTGTATACAATCAACAACAATCAACGATGAACTTTGAGAATCTACTAAATTTATCATCAAGGAAAAGTCTATGAAATTATTTTCTCTTTTTTTTCTTGTTACCTGAGAATTGGAACTGAAAATTGTTTTTCTTTTTCTCTCTTCATTTGGATGTTTCTTTATCATCTCTCATCTCTCATCTTCCTCCCTCTTTCTAGCTGTTTTTTCTTCTCTTACCCTCTTTGTCTTCATCATCTTTTCTCATCCTCTGTCTGTCAATCTTTCACTATTTTCTTCATTCTCTCTCTCCAAAAGTAAACTTCATCTTCTTCTCTTTTGCCAATTGTTATTATTAGTTTCTACATCTCTCTCTCTCTCTCTCTCTCTCTCTTAATCATTATGCATCTTCTCTGTCTATTTTATTTATCTTCTCTGTCTACCTCTTTTTTTATGGTTACATAAAAAACGCCCTGAAGTCACTTTCTCTTTACCTGTGTTGCAGGAGCGAAAATAAAAAAGGTGAAGAGAGAAAAAGAAAGAAGATAAATTGATGATGAACTCACTTATTTTCTTTTTACCTTTCCATCATTATCATCATTCTCTCCCCTTTTCTCTCTCACTCAATATTCCCTCTCTTTTTGAAAAAGATGAAAAGATGAAAGAGAGTATCAACCAATTACTCTCCCACCTTTGACTCTCTATCGCTCACTTATCATCCAAGAACCACAATCTATTGTGATCATCTTCATCTTCATCTTCATCATCATCATCTTCCAATGCTCATGATAAGAAGAAGGAGAAAAATAATAATAAAAGAAACCAATGTACATGAAGATGAGGAAGATAAATGATGATAAGAGCCTTTTTCCCCAATCCCAAGGTAATACAAACGTTTACCAACATTGGATTCAAAATGATGATGAAGATGATGAAGATAAATCTACTCCTCCCAACTTCAAATGTACCTTTTTGCATCATCATCCTCATCATCATCATCATCATTGGCCCTCTTTCCACCTTTGTCATCATTGTAAAATCATCAAAGCAAATCAGCAGAAGAAAAAAAAACTAGTAACCTTAAAATTAAAGGTTCTCCCATTCATATTATATAATCAACAGAGTTTTTTGTTTCATTCAAACGACAATGATGATGAAGATGATAATTTATCATCCCTCTTCCTTATATCTTTACAATAAACCTTTTTTTATCGTCCTCATCATCATTCAACTTCCTTAATCAACATTTAATCATCATCATCATCAAAAACCATTGTTGTTTATCAACAGCATCCAAAGATGATGATGATGATGATGAAAAAATCTAAGTGACAATTTACTTTGATCATTGCAATTAACTTAACCAAAAGCTTTTCAATTGAATTTCCTGTTTCCATTAATACACAATTAACATTATCATCACCTCCCAATGTAATTATACATATTGCAACAATTAAATCGTATTGTTAATATCTAAGATTATCAAGTTAAGTTCACAATCAAATTTAATACCAATAAACATAACTGAAGATCAAACAAATCAAACTAAATCATGATTTGTCCTAAAAGTTATTTGATTATAAATTATATTTATATGCACATAAAACTTTCAATTACATTGAATTAACGATTAACTGTATTTGATTAGTGGTTTTGGTTTTGGGTTTTCTCAAAGTAAATAACAAATGAGAGATTAGGATTTAAATTGATAAAAAAGATGAAGATGAGGATGAGGATGAAAAGGAAATGTATATTTGAATATATATTGATAATTGTAGAGGAAAAAATAAAAACAAGGTAAGTGTTTAAATCGTGCTTATGAATTTTGTTTTTCTTGGTTATCCCTCAAGATGATGATGAAGATGAGGATAAAGTTTATCCTCATCTTTTACCTGGTCATTGTTGTTATTACTCATTGTATGTGATGATATTTATAAACACAATATTATAATAATAATGAGAGTGGACACCCTAAAGTTTATCCAGGTAGATAATATATGATAATGATGAAACAAAAAGTTCGTATCGTTTTTTTTTTCTTCATGTTTTATTGTAATAAATCAACTGTTTTATTCATTCACACAATCAGTTAATTTAATCACAATTTAAAAAGGAAAATCAGTTGATTGTTATCTTGACACAATCGCCTCCTGATGTGTGTGTGTGTGTGTGAGTGTGAGTGTAATGAAAGGATGAGGATCAAGATGAAGATTGTAATTTAGATGAAGATTATGATGTTGGTCATCTTACCAGTAGGTAACCAGAGTTTGAATGTGAGTTGAATTTGATGAAATTCAGACTGACCAATGATTCTGATGAAAATAATAATGATGATGATGATGATGAAAGTGTATAGATGATGTGAGAAAGGGATGAGGATTAAGATTAACATGATTATGATATGATTGTAATGCTAATATATTAGTAAAGTTATTGAAATTAAGTAGGAGGTGGAGGTGGTTTGGATGATGAGGATGATAAATGATGAGGATAAATGATGATGATAATCACACTGAGATGTTGATGAAGATGATGAATCATTATGATGAGAGTAAAAAACTTTTGGGTGTTCATATCGTATAAGTTTTTTTTTTATTTCGGACTTTCGGTGATAAAAAGTTTTTTTTCGTTCTATTTTTTTTCATCTTCTTCGTCTTCTTCATCCTCATCATCGTCTGGATTAAGGATGATAATGATTCTGATGCTTTTTATCATCCTCATCATTTATCCTCGTTTATCTTCATCGTTTTAAAAGGGATCACACTTTGATTACCTGGTTAACACTTTAGATGAGGTCAAAGCTTTAAATGTATTGAAATTAAATTTGATTATCGACTAGTTGATTTACAATCAAAGTCATGGAAAAATTGATCAAATCAATTGATTAATAAGTGTCTTTCTCACTTCTCACAATTTTTAATCATTATCATAATCAATTGATTATATTGATCATCTTCTTCTTGATCTTCGTGATCGATTGTCAATCAGATTTAGTTTTCTAGATTCTCAACAATCAAGTAATCATTTAAATCATTCACTTTGATTGGTGTTGGTTCATTTTCCTTTTCCAAACTGATTTAAGTTAATTTAGTTTCTCATCAAAATGTAAATCATGTTGATCAAAATCAAGAAAGAAAAAAAAATAGTCAAAGTTAATTAAATTAAGAAAAGTTTTGCCTCTCAATCAGATTCTAATTTTAAATTGTTCATCTTAATTGTTGATTAACTTTTCCAGCTAATTTAATTAGGATAATTTGATACTTTTTCTCTTGCTATATAAGTTTACCTGATTGTGATTATCTAAAAATCAAAGCGTAACAATTAACTTTAATTGTTAATACATGATAACCATAATTTCCCATAGTTTAAAATTTTAGGATTTTTGGCTCGTTAATTGTTGGCTAAATTGTTTAATTACCGATTTTCAATTGTTAGTTAAGCCCACACATTGATTACCCTCCAGAGTGTGACCATAAACAACAATTTAGTTAATTTGATTGTGATCAACAATCAGATTGCTATGGATAAGAAACAATTATCATGATTTTGATTAAATTTTTTTGGAAACTGTGGTTAATTGTTTAGAGGATTAATTGTTAGATAATTATGAAGTTAATTGTAATTAACTTAATCAGTTAACCTTGAATAGTATTTTTTTTCATCGGTAAATCATTACTCATCTTAATTGTTTCCCGATTTGCAAATTGATTTGATTGTTTGATTATGATGAACACTTTTTTGCAAACTTAAATTGTTTGCAATCATCAATGGAAATCTTAATTTAGTCAAACAATTTAACCTAAATTGTTATAACAATTAAAACAATTTGCTAACCTCTTATATTACTGCTGGTGATTATCAACTTTCACCATATTCAACCAACAACAATTAACTTTTAAAACAAAAAATAACTATGAATTAATTAGCAATTAAATTAAGAAACTGAATTAAATTACTAATTAAAAACCATATTTGAAAAATTGCAATTAACTTTTCAATAATGGTTTAATATTGTAACTCAATCAATTGTCTAGTTAATTGTTTAACCAAATAATCAAAGTGTTGTCAATCATTTAATCATCAACAATTAAGGTGTGTGATCATGATCCAAAATCAATCTTAATTGTTTGATTAACTCTAAATCAAGCTAAACTTTTAAATTGTTTCAGTTAATCATAAATAACCAAATATTGATGATGATAACAAACAAAATAGTTAATCAAACAATCAAAACTAATTCAGTTGATGATGGATTATCATTGATCAAGTGATTTAATAATAAACTTTGAGCAGAAAAATAGATTCACAATCAAGTTTTAAATCACTTTTTTTTGCCAATGATAACTACAATTAGTTAATTGACCAACAACAATCAGTTAACTAACTAAGTATTAGATGAAAACAAAAAGCTTAAACTGAATTAAGGTCAAACTTTTTTTTTAGCAATTTAATTTCCAATTCATGTTAATCATCAACCTAATCAAGTTAATCATCTTACCTATGATTATGGTTACACCAACGCATTAGAGGATTTAATCAACAATTAAAGTTAAATGATCATGATGGTTTATGATTAACTGATTAGCCTGAAAGTATAACAAGTTAACCCAAAGACATTAAATGAAAAGTTTTCCTTCATTCAAATGATTTAAATTTGATCAACAATTAAGATAAACATTAAAAGTGAATCTTTTTAGTTAATTTTAATTTCAATTTTCAGTTTAATTGTAACCATTTAATTCAAATGAAAGTCTCTTAATTGCTCAAAATTAAATGTATCATATGATTGGGTGGATGATCATTTGATTTGATAGTTTTCCGGAAGATGATTAAAGTTAATTGTTAGTTTATTAGTCTTAGGCTTTTGTTGATTTCATTAAATTATAAGGGTGATTGTTGATTGTTTCATGTTAATTAGTTAATATGATTACAATTAACAGGGAAATGAAGCAGATTGATTTAAATATTGATTGATTTAGTTTCTAATTGTGACTAAATTTTTGATGATATTAAATTATTATTGATCTTCCGGTTATATTACCGTTGTGTTGATTATATTAATACTTAATTGCTGATAATTTAAACTCATATTGATGGTTAATTAAGTTTGATTGTTTAAAGCCTTAGGTTTGATTTTAATCACAATTGGATCAGAAAATCATTAATTAACTTTTGATATTTGATTAATGCCTTAAATCAAGTCAATTTTTCAGGTTGATCCTTAAATTAAATTGTTTCAAAAATAATTAACTAATAAACAATTGAATCAAACAATTTTCATTAATCATTAATGAGATAAATGATTGTTATCATGATTAAATTTGATTGTTTTGGAAAATTATTACAACTAATTAACTGAGAAAAGTTTTAAACAATCAAAACAACAACAAAAATTAAGTTTCTACTTTAAATCATTATAATGATACAATTAAGATTTTGATTGAAAATAATAATTAACTGACAATTAAGAAGGAAATGAAAATTAATTGTGATGATTAAACAAAATATTAATAGTATCCTGATCAACCTAATTACCATCAAATATGATGACAATTAAATCTGATCAGTTTGATCAATTTGATTTTAATGGTTACGATTGTTAAATTAACTGGACAATCTCATGGTTGATTAACTAATCATATTTAAAGTGTGATGGTGATGATAGTTGATTGTGTTTGTATTAAACGATGAGGATGAGTTGATACTAATCATTATCACACTTATACAATTATTTAGTTGATTGTTGTGATGATCATCAAACAACAACAATCAACAGCTCTAAAAGAAACTGTGATCTTAATTCATAATTGTGATCATTTATTATTATCAAATATCAAATCCAGTTAATCATGATGATGGTAAATAAAAGTTTAATTTTGTTTTTATATTGTTCAATTATAATCAACATCTTCCGTCTCAAACAATTTAATCTAGTGTTGTGTTGATTTGTACACAATTGTTAAATTAACATGATTACAATTACCCTATTATTATGTTGATTACGATGATTAAGTTGAAGATGATTAAGGATTAGTGATGAGTATAAAATATTATATATAAGAAAAACTTTTTTTTTTCTTCTCGCTATCAACTAACACCCTTTAAATTGTTGTTGACTTTTGATTGTTAGTTGATTGTTGATGTTGATTAACATTATTATTATTGATAGATGAACATGTTACTCTCCAACATTGACCTACAATTTAAGCTAAATTGTTGATGATTAAGATGATGATCAAAGACGATGATGAATATAATAGTTATCATTATTTTGTAATGTATTTTGTAGGTTGATTGTTTATATTTATATTATCATGATTTATATAAATTGTGAACCTGAAATTTGATTGTGTTTTACAATTTCTGATTCAATTGTTGTTGTGTTTAACAGCAATTTAACATATTAATTAATTGTATTTATATTTGTATGTGTGTGTGTGTGTCTGTTTGTACAATATGATTATTATTAATTGTTGTTTAACAAAATTGTTGATTGTATTATATTACAATTAATCAAAGGTTTCATCATCAACATGAAAATGATATGATGATGAATATGACTCTCAAGGAAGTAATTAAGCTAATGATGATTATGATGATCATCATGATTTAATTGTGATAATTAATATTCATTATGAATCTGAATAATAAAAGGTAAGATTATAAGAGAAAAGTGAAATTAAATCTAATAACTTTTGGATAGAAAAAAAAAGTTTTTTTTGCTTCGAAAAACTTTTTGTTAGTAACTCGAAACTTTTCAACTTTCGTCTCGATTATTTCGTTAATTGTAATCAATTCATTGATAAGATTAAAAGTTAATCATGTTTATACAGTTATTAAGATAATAATTTAGCTTAATTAGTAAGATTATGAGTCTAGTTAATCTGATTAACTTTTATTATTATAAAACTTGCGGTTACAATTAACTTTTTTTTATTAATTATCTCTCATTGATTTGATTTATCTTTGATATCAATTATCTTAGATTAAAGTGATTTGCTAATTGTGATTTATTATTTTACCAACAACAAATATTTTAACCATTAATTAATGTGAGATTTACTTGAAATTGAATAAACCACCAATAGTAATTAATAAATTTACCTTTTGATTGAAAAGTCTACGAGAAACAATTAACTGGGATGCTACAAATTGATCAATCAAAATGGGAGAGAAAAAGTTAATTTAGTTGGTATTAAGCAAATTTAATTAGTTAATCATGATGGTATGAAGACTATGAAAATAACCTTGAATAAGTGTGTGATTAGTAAATTGCTGAGTCGTAATCAAAAAGTGATTAAAGTTGATAGTGAAAATTAATAGGTTACCAGAAAAGTAAATCAGTTTCCCATTCAAAAGTAATTGAACTTAATTTGGATTTTTTTTCTTGGGTAAAAATCAAAATCCAGGTAAATGATGAGGATGATTAAGATGATTATCATCCTCATCATCTTATCAAGATTTCTTGCTTGATGATGATGATGGATGATGATCAGCATGATGATTAAGCTTACGATGATTATAATATGTATGTTTGTGTGTCTGTTTGAAAGGTAAATAGTGTGACCTGGAAATGATTAACTTGATTGTTGCCCTTTTCTAATTGCTGATGATCAAGTTTTTTTTTGCCGCAAAAAAAAATCGACAACAACAATTTGGATTAACTTTCCTGTATTGGAAACTGATTTAATCTTAATCACCATCATGATTAAACTTGATTTGCTGCTTATGGAAAAACCTTTGGGTCCTTTTAATTTGATTGTTAATTGTTGACACATTGATTTACTTTTATTATTATAACAGTTGTCTGTTGATTAACAATATACTGATTATTTTAGCCCACACACAATTAGTTAATTGTTAATATAATATTAATCATGGGACTAATATCATGATTATTTAATTTACTTTATCAATGATAAATTTTCACAGTTTCTTGTTGGTTGTTTTTTGTACACTCGACCTAAATTAAATTAACTGATTAGTGGCGGTGATATTTACCTATTTTAATTATACAATTAGGTCAGTGATTTGTTGGTTTATTGTTGATTAACAGGATTAGATTACAACAATTTAAATTTATTGAAACAATTGAACTTCTAGTTTTGTTTTCATATTTCAAACTTTGCTTTCTTATTTTGCTTCACTCGCCATCTCATTGATTGTTAATTGCAAACACTTGATTGTTCACAATTAAATACTATCAAAGATTTACTATCTCTAGTGATGACCACAAGTTCTGGTTCAAATAACTGGTCATTTTTTTCTGGTTTTCTGGTTATTTTTGGGTTAACTTCGGGGTGTGAACATGTTAATCTACTTTTGAATTTTGATTTTTTCTCCTTTTTTTCTGGGTTAAAATGTTTATCCAATTTCATGAGAAATAGATTTAGTTTTGATTATTATTGTTAATTGTTGTGATTATTTATGAATAACTAAATTGTTGTTCAATTAAAATTAGTATTAAATCAAGGTTAAATATATACTCAATATATAAATATACAAATAAAATTAATTTATGAAATCAATTTAATTTTTCATAATTCAATAAATTTGTTGTTTTGTTGACGTTAAATTTAATTAACTTAATGAATGATTTTATTTAATTTGATTGATTATTTTTGATTTAATGACAATTTATTTAGTTTATTTCAACTTTATTTATTAACATATTCATCAATTCAAAAACTTGTGTTCAATATCAATAATTACTACAATCATAATTTCGTTTTTTCATGTTTATTAATTAATTTTCAAATTGATAGTTTCAATTAAATTCTTTTAAATGAAAATAGTTATTCTGATTATTATTCAAAATTATTATTAAATTTAAATCTAATATATATACTCAAATAATATTGTTGAAACGATTAACATAATAATAAATTGTGTTGGTTGATTGTTAAGATGAGTTTAAATGGACAATTTATTTCAACTTATATTATACAATTTACACACTAATTAAAGGTCAACAATTTACCAATAATGATTAATCTAAACTGTTAATAGTTACAATTTAACCGGTAAATTGTTGTCAATGATGATAATGATAACGAAAACAAATCTCTTCATAATTAAAAGTTATAAAAACCAATAGATTTACTATTGTTAATATTATATGGATTTAAATTGTTTCTCGGTGGATTAGCTGATTAACTTGATTGTTTTGTTGGAGATTAATTGTAATTTAATTGATTTCTCTTTTTTCCCCTCTCAATTTGATGATTAGGTGATGTTCCTTTGGTTGAGATGTCGTTGGTTGGACAGACAAAGTTTACTCCTTTAACTGAAGCTCTTTGTAAATGTATCAATGAATTTAATCAACAATCAGTTAATTGTTTTCTTGGTGAAATAAATGATTCGATTCGTTCATCTTATCCAAATATTACTCCACCAACGGTGGAGATGATTAAGAAAACTTTACGTTCGTTACAACGTGAAGGTAAGGTCAGATTCTCGGCCTCTGATGGTTACTGTTTAATTCAACCTTCAATGGGTTCAGAGGTTAATTCATCTTCCTCGGTGATTCTTGGAGGTGGAAATGGTGCCGGAGATAATTCAATTGAACCAATATCACCTTCAAGTACAATTAAACGGGAATCAGCTCGATTATATTCATCACTTATGACACCCGATGAGGTTATCAGCCGACTCCATGGATCACCAACATCTTCAGCTGAATCAGCTTACTATGGATCTACCAATGGAGCCGGTGGAGTGATTAGTGATAATCAAAGTAATTTAATTACACCCACCGAAAGTTTGGATGTTACCGTTAATTGGGATTGTGGAATTGATAATCAGGCCATGTTATTGGGTGGAAAAGATGATGCAAGTGACATTATTTCACTTCGACGATCATCATCCTTACGAATCCCGTCAATGTCCAAGGCAACAATCAATCGGACTCAAGAAAACGGATGTAATAGTACCGGCGGCGGTCGTGTTGGTGCCGTTGATTATTATAATACTTCAACTAAATTAGTTTCCAATCTATCGACAACATCATCAACCACTCTCACTTCTGGTGGTGGTGGTGGACCTTTTTCCCGATCTAAATCATTGAGAATGGTTAATCACCATAAAGAAAAGATTAACGCTCACAAATCAATGACAATCGACTCAAGTGAAACTTCAAGTAAAACCGATGCAATTAATGTTACAATTAAAAGTAAGTTACAATTGGCAGAAAACCCTTTAAACTCTTGAGATGTTTTTCTTACAATCAATTAACACCAAACAATTAACGTACTAAATTAACTCACACGCTGAGATTAGAATGAGAAAGTTAAAGATTATGATTAACTTTAATTCAGTTTCTTTAATGGTAAATACACTTTACCTGTTGAGAATTTGATTTGTTAATTTGTCTCTTTAATTTTTACCTTTTCAACTGATCCACTTGTTAATTTATCAATAACAATTTAACAATTAATAGGTCACTTTTTTGGTTACCGTTAGAATATAAATTTAATTGTTGATGTTAGTTAACTGATTGTTAATAAGCAGCTGATAGATTTACCTGATTATCCCCTTGTTATCAACATGTTGATATATCCGGATATGTTTGGGTGTGGATATTACAACAATTAATTGTTAATTCTTAGGCAAAACAAGGAGTACAACAATTAACTTCTCTCTCTATTGTATGTCCAACAATTAGAATAATCAATCAATCAATAATATTTAATAATTCACCTAAATATTAATCGTAATTCACTTACCTCTTTTTTCCTGTTGTTCCGATTTTAATAATAATAATTTTCCAACACAATTTGCACAATCAGTTAATCAGTTAAATTGTTGATTAATTTTAAAAGAATCTCTTCTTAATATTGTTTTTCTTTAATTGTAACAATAAGACTATGATAGTGATCTATTGAATTTCCTGATTGTTACCAATCAATTGAATGGAAATTGATAATTTTCATTGTTACCACTTCGATCTTGTTTTTGTTTTCATTCATCAAATTTAATTGTTGATCCAAACAGAATAACAATTTAGTTAACTATCAATTTCATCGTGAAAACTTTCAAGGTAAATTGTAATTGAATATTTTCCAATTCTATCAAACTTTTAAATGGTAAAATAATTTACAATTAAAGTTTGATTGTTACCATGGAAAAACTTTTTCCTCTTTGATTATTTTTCTTTAATTAACAATAACAATTAACTTCCTTTCGTTTAAATTGGACAATTAAAAATATTCTTCTCTTATTATTATAAATAAATGAGATGGTTGATTAGTTTAACTTTCTACTAATTAGAGGAAGAAAATAAAAGACAATCAATTGATTTGATTGTTAATTGTTCTCGTTTTCTAATTTCCCTCCTTTTTTTTAATTCCTTTGTCTCTAATTTAGAGCCATCATTGTTTACTAAATTTTTGGCTCGTTTAAGTTACAACGGCGGTGGAAATGGACTGACAACAATTGGACCTAAATCGTTGAGAAATGATCAACAATTAAATCAACGTAAATTGGCCACTGGTGATTGGAATGATGAAAGTAACAATATATCACAATCTAGTCAAGAAACTAAATCAACCCAAACAACAACAACAACAACAACATCGGTCAACAATAAATCATCATCTTTGACGGTTTTACAACGAAATAGGTCAAATAAATGTTATTGTACCAACGGTAAATTGTCATCTATTAATTGTGGTTATGAGACAACAACAATTAACACTAATTTGATACGAAAATCATCAACATTGGATAATAATAGTCGACAGATTAAATGTAAACCTTATGGTAATCCTACTTCATGTATTTACTGTGAAACCTTACGGACAATTTCAACCGGTAAAACCAAACGATCTAATCAACATAATTACAATAATCACTCACCACTAGCCCAGAGTAATCAGGGTGCTTGTGATCTGTGTAATTTAATCAATTCACCAACATCATCTTTAACCCCAACAGGCCAACAATCAACGGTCATCCCGCCATCTTCAATAACAAATGGTTATCCCAATGGTATCGGATCGCCATCTTATCCTTATCAACCAGCAATCGGTCCGATTGTTGATCCAAATTGTGACAAATGTTTAACATCATTAACTTATTGTTGTACTAATATTGATTGTGGTAATGTTACATCATCTTCAATTGGATCAGCGGTAACATCATCTCGTCTCTACTCATCACATTTCCACCATCACCCTGGTCAACATAATCATCATCACCACCCTGGTCATCAACCCTCATCATTATTACACCAACATCAACATTTATCTTCCCAACAGCAACAACAACAACCGCCAATCACTGATCAATTTAATCATCATCATCATCATCATCAACAATCTACCTCTTCCTCTTTCCTTTCAAGACAATGTGCTACTCTATCATCATCCACTCCATCATCTTCATCACCACCACCTTCACCTTATTCAAGGTTCACCCTTTCACCCACCTTAAGGTCAACTAAAAGTAGTGCTACTGGAGGTCATTTTTTCTCATCTTCAAGGTTAACACCATCATCATCTTTGGCCCATTCACCATCAACACCCTATTCACCTTCATCTCCATTATCATCATCAACAATTAACAATCCTGAGAAATTATCTCCAATCACAATTCAAACAAATTCATCTGAATTAACTGATAGATTGACTAATGGACTATCTGGTAAATCATCATCTCTTTTAAGGCCGACACAATTACCACAGAAAAATTTAATGACAACAGTTAATGAACTGACCATTGGTGATGTAAATAAGAATCGGTCAATGGTTGTAATTAAAAGTCCACTCAATGAGTCCACAATCAACACTACAACAGTAGCAACAACCACTCCGTCAATTATAACCTCGACTGCCACAAAAATTGAACCAATTTCAATGAAAATGACCAAAGAATTGACCAATGATAGTTTATGGAATGAAATTGGTGGTAAACAATTAGAAGCTGAATTAAGAGAGACCGGTATTACCATTGGTAATTCATTTAATTTTAAAATTGAAATCGCTTCACCAACTAATCAACAATCAGATTCATCATCAACAACTAAAACTACAACAACAACATCAACCACAACAAAAACTTTACTATCTAATGATTTGGTTAAAAGTTTCACTAATTTTGAGGAAAAATCAGCTGATAACTTACCGAAAGATTTATCATCATTACTTTCATCTAAATCAATCAGTAATCAATATAATCGTCCATCATCATCATTATTATTATCACCAACAACTAATTTAACCAGTGTCACCAATTGTACATCAACAATTAACGTTTGCACTGTTAATTCAACAAATGATAATAAGACATCAACAATCAACAAACAAGAAATTAATGATAAAATATCAACAACAACCTCATCTTCAAATGCCAACAATGATTATCCATCATCATCATCATCATCATCTGGAATAACAACAAATCAACAATTCAATTCATCCGAGTCAATTAATGAAAATGAAGAAACGGAAATGAATGGACCAACAAGCATTTCCATAATGACAACAACCAAATTATCCAATGGAACCACTGAATGTAAATCTGATTCACCAACAACTGACCAAAATCAACAAACCGATTCACTGACCAATGGATTAATTAAAACACCAACAACCATCAGCGATTTAAGGCAAAAAGTGGCCCAAGCAAAAGCAGCTTTTTTCAATTCCTCATCTGCTGGAGGTGAATCAACCAAAATTACCTCAACCTGTTGATTATCATCATAAGAAGATAATTATGTTGATGATGATGAAAAGATAATGATGAATAAAGAGTATCATCATCAACATCTTATATAAGATTGAAAGTGAATCATCACAAGAGAGAGAGAGAGAGTTTAATTGAAGGAGATCCTTTCTCTCTCTCTCTCTCATCTTCATTATAACGTGACTCTCACTGAGCTTCATCATCTTCATCTTCATCTTCCTCATCATAAACACCTTTAGATGAGCCTTAAGAAATGATTACTCTGTGGGGTTAGAACTGAGTTAGAACTTTTTTTCCTCATCTTCTAATTGCATCGTCATCATCATCATCATCAGCTGAATTATCATCATTATTTAATACATTTATCTGTATGCAAAGTGATTTACCTAAGGTAAAAATTAAATTAGCCTTTGTTAAATTGTCTTCATGATGATGATATTTTGATGGAGGTTAATATTATATTAGATTCAGAAGCCAAGCTAAATCTTTATTATTATGATTTACAATCATAATTGTATTTTTGATTATGATTAACCAATTTCATTAAGCGTGACTTGCTCATTGTAAAGAAAAAAAAATCTAAATTGCTAAATCACTTTTCCTTTAATTTAGTTTCATTTTCATCGTTACATTTAATATTAACGATGAAAATATAAATGGTAAGGAAACTATTAATTTCAAAGTTATCATTATATTATGATTATGATACAAAATTAAATGTCAACAATTAACACGATATGTATCAAAATTAACTTTTCCCCCCACTTTTAATCAAATCAAATTGTCTTATGTAAATCCAATGTTAATTTGTTTCTATTTTTAATCTCAATGTGTTTGTTTAATTATCTCCTTGATTGTATTTCCTTAATTGTATTTTCATTTTGTTTAATTCCTTTTCTCTAATTGTAAATGATCATTTTTTTTTACACCAATTTAATTACAATTTTACCTAATCAAAGATGAAAAGAATTGAAAATTTTATTTCTTTCAATATTAATCCACAATTAAAATGTCACCAATTTAAATTGTCAATGAACTTCATCTTAAGCTTTTGATAATTGTTGAAGTTGATTGTTAACAATCAATTCTCAACAATCAAAAATAATAAACTGGCTCACAAATTTGCTTCCTTCCTTGACTAATCATAGAGATCACAATTTGGTGATTTTTTTCCTAAATTACCAAATTAACTTGATTGTTGTTGGTTGATTCAATTCACCAATGTTTCCACTTGGTTGATGATAATTAACATTGGTAAGTTAATTTTGTTTTTCTTACCTGTTGATAAACTAAATCATGATCATAGACCAAAAGATTTTTGATCAATTTAATGGTTACAATTTATATTAAGAACTATTGATTGTTGTTATTGGTTAACATGATTTAGCTTTCACAACAACAATCAACTGAACCATAGAGAAAGATACAATTAACTTTCACTCGTTTTAATCATTGATCCTTAGAGAGAAAGTGATTTAGATTTATTTTTTTCTTTTTGATTGTTTTCATCAACAATCAACTAAGTTGATTAAACTTACACGCTGATCTTTTTAATTGTTAATTGTTTCTCGTTGATTCGTTTTCCTTTTCATTATTTGATTATCTCTCAATTTATGACAATATTTACAGAATTGACTCTTAATCAGCTGATTGTTACTCAAACTTTTATATGAATGAAAACAATTCATTCATCAAAAACTATTAGGTAAACAACTAAGTAATGGCCAAAATTTTTTCGAGCTTACATTTGGCTTGATTGTTAGAAAACTTTAGATTTTTGATTAATAAATTTAGTATAATTAGAGAGGTTAGATAATAAGCTTTAACATGATACATAAATGATCATTTTAGGATGATTAGTTTAATTACAATTTAATTTTATCTAAAGTGATAGAATTTTTGTTTTTCGATCTTTTTATTCAGTCATTTTTCGATGAATATTGAACTTTCGAAGATTAAATTAAAACAAAATATTCTTTGATTTTGAGCTACTATTGATAAATTTGAACAATTAAAACGATCAAGTTCAAATTTTATTTAAATTTAATCAAAAAATCATTTACCATTGAAGAGACATTGTCTATGGAGATTTTTACATGAAAATTGATTCTAAATCAAGAACTTCATGAAAATCGGCTCTTTATGGAAAATCAATGGTAAATGATTTTTTGATTAAATTTAAATAAAATTTGAACTTGATCGTTTTAATTGTTCAAATTTATTTAATAGTAGCTCAGATATCCAATGAATATTTTGTTTTAATTTTAATCTTCGAAAGTTCAATATTCATCGAAAAAATGACCTCCGAATAAAAAAGATCGAAAAACAAAAATTCTATCACTTTAGATAAAATTAAATTGTAATTAAACTAATCATCCTAAAATGATCATTTATGTATCATGTTAAAGCTTATTATCTAACCTCTCTAATTATACTAAATTTATTAATCAAAAATCTAAAGTTTTCTAACAATCAAGCCAAATGTAAGCTCGAAAAAATTTTGGCCATTACTTAGTTGTTTACCTAATATCAACTGATGTTTGAATTGTAGAGAAAGTTAATTGTAAAGATTATGATTAACTTTTTTGAGAGTAAAAAGTTTTTCATTACAATTAAGTCGCAAATTGAATTAGTCACTTTGACTTGTTCTAAATCAAATTAACTGATTGTTTTAAATTTCTACAAACAAATAATTATAATCATTTCCACTTGCGTACAATTTGGTTAATCACTGTAAGTAGATTAGGACATGTTAGAGTTTAAATTAATTGTAGTTAGTGTTTAGGGATTAAGTTACAATTTGGTTAATAGTTATTAACTTTTTCACTGTTGATTGTTGGACAAAATCTGTAACATTGTTGTTGTTTTTGGAAACTACTTATTAATGATATTAGACAATTAATATTTAACACTTAATTGTATTTATTCAAAGTAACAACAGTTAATTTGATTGTAAGAAATTGTAAAAATATAATCTTCTTTCATTCAATTAACCTAATTCAATCCTTTTCTCCTTGTGTAATCAAGTTAAATTGTTGGTTAAGAAACAAAAAGCTTCTTCTTTCCCTTCCTAATTCTTAATCATCAACAGGTAGTCATAAGAATTACAATTAATCATTGACGATGAATTAATGTCAGATTAACGATTCAAACATCATTCAATCCTTGAGATTGATTATCGTATATCTGGTGGTATCAATTTAAATTGATTCTTTTTCCGTTTTCATTATTTTCACACTTGATTGTTGATCTTGCGGAAAATTGGCCTCAGGTCCACTTTTCTTTATTCTCGTCCTAAGGTTACTCCTTTTTCCTTATCCATATAATTAGTTGCAAATTCAGTTTGGTGAAACTTTTCCATCTCTCCTCCGATTACACCTAAACATATCTCGTATTGATCTTAATACACTAGATTCTTAATCCATGAAATGTTACCAATTCCAGAGAGTGAAAACAAAAAGCAAATCAAGAAAACACTTGGAATGATCTAATTACATAACCAATTAGATTGACAATTTAATCTTCTTGTAGCTTGGCACATAATGTTGACAATGGATTATACATGGATCATATTAACAAATAGATTGCTAATCAAACCTTTGGAATAAGTTAATTGTTCACAATTTGAGGTTACACTTGTGGTTACCATTTGCATTTATTGTTCACTTTCTGGTTTCCATTAAAAACTAAAGAAAAACAAACCAAATGTAAATTAACTGAAACGTAGATTAACATTAAACTGTTGATTGTTGGTTAATTAGCCTTTCGGTTTATTGTAACAATTAACAGAAGAAAAAAAAAACGAAAATAAAAAGAATTAATGATCATCCATCTTAATCTGTTGTTCTTTTTGTTACTAATCGGTCATTATGTTGATTTGTTTTCTTCCGTTGCCATGGGCGATTCGCTCTCACATGATAACTTATTTTCTCCGCCATCTTTACATAATCAAAGAAACTTTGATTCTAATTTAGTTAATTTCTCACCGACCAGTAGATTAATCAATCTAAATGATTGTTTAAATGTTCGTGTTCGTCGTAATATATTAACTTTAAATGAATCACAATTAGCTGATTACATTAACAGTGTTAAAAGATTATATTTAGATGGAACCATTGATCGGTTAGCTTTTTTTCATCGGATTCATTATCATTCGTCTCACAATCAACCGCTAATCTTTTGGTGGCATCGATATTTTATTTGGAAATTTGAAAATGAATTACAACGGATTAAACCAGGATTAACTATTCCATATTGGGTAAGTTTAATATTTTCTTCTGGAGAAAAGAAAAACAAAAGAGAACATTTGTTTGTTCTTTTCTTCTCTTTTGACGCCATTAAGAGTTTAGGCTTTTGATTTTTTTCTCCTCCATTTTTTTTTCTTTGTTTTCTCTTGAAAAAAATTCTCTTTTTCTTTTTTTTTATAATTTCTATTTTTCTCTCTCTCTTTCTTCTTTTAGGATGCTTCTGAAGAATATAAGGAACCACACAAGAGTATTGTTCTATCGGATAAATATTTCGGTGGAAATGGAGAGGAACAATTTCATTGTGTGGTAAACGGTTTTCTTAAATCACTTGTCACAAGGCTACCTGATGGAAAGGCAAATTGTATCAAACGTGCTTATTATGGATCAGTGGCTGGTACATTGGACCCTTGGAATGACACTCAGAAAATTGTTGACATTATTAAATCATCTAAAGATTCGGAAAAATTTCGTGTTGCCATGGAAGATTCAATTCATTTGGATGTTCACCAAGGTTTGGGTGGTTTAGATGCAAATGGTTATATGAATTCACCGATTTCACCTTTAGAGTAAGTTTCATCATCATTTCTTTTAATCTTTTAATCGTTATTTTCTATTTAATCTGTTTTTATTATTTGAAATTTTCTTCAACAATTACAGTCCAATTTTTTACCTTCATCACGCAAATTTGGACCGATGGTTATATACATGGCAATTATCATCTTTTCAAAGATTTGAGATGATTAATGGTAATCAACGGTTACTAAATGGTACATTAATTAAATTAACCAAAGATTATGAACTAGATGGTTATCAAAATGTTACATTGGACCAGATTTTAAGAATCCAGGAGAAACCTTTATGTTACACTTATGATTATTTACCTTTAGATAAATTGTCTTCAACTAAATGAGATTTAATATTGACTATTAACGATTTTTTTTTCTCAACAACAAATTGGCAAAAACAAAAATACCATGAAAATTCAAAACAATTTCTTAAGCATTAACACTGGTATCTAATCCTAATGATTGTTTGATTATCTCATAGGCACTAAATGAGACTGCAACCATTGGTATCGCTCTTAAATAATTGACAGACATTCCTCGGTAAAGTCCGTTTACAATTCCGTGTTCTTTGTAGGTCAAAATTAGCGTTGGTAAAACACCCTTACTGTATTTAACTGTCTCTGGTTGCATCATACTGAGCTGCATCCGTCGTCGGGCCACATCCAATGGATACGAGAAAGATTGTGAAACAGCTCCTAGAATAATTTACAATGGTAATCAAGTTAGTAAAGTTAATTGTTCAATTGTTGATCATTTAAGTTCAATTTACCGGCAAGTCCACCGCAAAGGAGCTTCGAAGGTATATTTAAAAATAGTTTGTCATCTTTTCGGGTTCCACAGAGATGAGGCAAATGTTTCAATACAAATATTTTGAACTCTTCAAATGTATAAAAATAAAGACCTGAAATTAAAAGATCGGGAGAGAAAGGGAGAAAGTGATTAATATGACATTTTAAACATTGAACATTGAATATGGAATCAAGTGGATCAATAGTATTGAGAAATTGTATTTACCAGAATAAGGTACGATCCCCATGAGAGCGGGTGTCATGCCTCGATATAAAGCGGAAAGACCACCTTCATTATGTATTATATTTCTGATACATGTCCAGATTCTTAGGCCAGGGGGAGATGAAAAAAGTCCCGTTGTAACGGTTCCATTGGTCGAGGAAAATTCAACGGAAAATGAAAGACGAGCTCGAACCAAGTCTAATGGATAAGTCATTATGACCGCTGTTATACCGGCTCCTGATCCTGCACACAGTTTGAATAGTTGATTGTTTCCAAAATTATCACGTAAATACTGAATTTCGAGAAAATATGAAAAAGAGAATAGAGAAAATTACTTCTATTCTATTAATACACAACCTGGTTTCCATTATTTACCTTTTTGTATATTTCAAAAGTGAAAAATTGAACAGCAGCATATGGGAAAACTCTAACCATTTGAGCTCCATTTCCTCGATAGAGTCCACTGAACTTTTCACGTTGAACAATATCTTTGAGGCCACTAAATACACCTTTAAAAAAAGAAAAGGAAAGTGAGAGAGAAAAAAGAAACATGAGAAGATGAGAAGAAAAAAAAAGTTCCAAATTCCATTTACCATTGTGCTTATAGTGCTCATTATGAGCTTGAAGTAGTATTTTGACTCGATCTAACGGAGCTACCGCTGTTTTTGAGGCCATTCCAGCGAGACCTAAAAAAGAAGAAAGTGCAAAAGAATTAGTTAAAAGGAGAAATTAATTAGAGACAATTAAATATCACCTCCAGCAATGAAAGTCTTAAGATGAGCATTATTTTTATCCATCTCAACAGATCCAAAAGGTCACAATTAAAGATGAAGAAAATCTCAGTTGATAGAAATTAATTGAAAGATAGAAGAAAAAAAGACAAATGTTACCAATTAAACAGCGATAATTAGGAACAAAAAAACACTAATTAACAACAATTAACCGGGAAGAAGATTACAAAAAGCATGGTAACAATCAATTCTCATGATGTAAGAATACAAGTAAACACATGACTCTAAATGCTTTCGAAAAAAGAAACTAGATGTCGCTAAGAGAGACAAATGATCGAAATTAATTAAACTAATTGTTGAAGAAAATGATTGAATTTAATCAATCTCTGTTTTCTTCAGAGGTTGACGATCATTTCTAATTGTTGGATGAAAATGAGAACAGTTAATTGGAGAAAAATTTTCGATCTAAATTGTGTTTTGAATCTTTTTCCATCTCGTTGATTGTAATGACCAAATCACGATTAACTGACTGATTTAATCAACTAATTTTGTTTACCTCATTCATCTTAATTTATTTTTCTCAATCATAATCAATTCACTTGTAATCATCTTCCATCCATTATTGGCTCATTAATCGTGATTAACTTAATCACAGTGGATGTTTATTAACAATCAATTGAAACAATCAACTCTTTTTTTCTCAAAAGTTACAAAAACAAATTTAAACTTTTTCATTGTTAACTTGTTGTGATTAGTGATTATTATCAATTGATCACGATGGTTAGTTAATCATTTACTGTGTTTTCTGTTAATCACAATCACTGTTTAAATCAACTTTAATTGATCGTAATGGTTAATTGTTGGTTCTCTTAATCTTTGTTGTTTTTTTTTGTCTGATTAACTAAATTAACTTCTTAATATACACTCTACACTAATCTCAACATGATTTACTAATCATATTACAATTAATTGTGTTGTTTCTTATCAAATCACAACAATCAGTTAATCAGGCAACACGTTATTAGCCAACAATCAATATAATTTAATAATATACTTTTATTAATCACGCTGGTGACCTGAGTTGAATAATGATTAAGGTTAAATCACAATCAGTGTAATCACATGATTAGTTAATTGTTCCTTGAACAATTGAACATCAAGTTAATTATTAAACGATTGAAAAATTAAACCAAACAATCAAATAACTTTTACAAAGAAAACTAGATGTCGCTAGAATGTCAATCAAATTAACTTTTTGTTGAAATCAAATTTAAAGTAACTTTAATTGTTTCTTGATTTGCAAACAATTTACAATGAAAAATCGGATTGTTTCTTAATCCAGTTCATCTTAAATATAATACCAACGAAAGGATAACAATTAACAATAATGATAACCCTTTGAAAGTTTTAATTCAGTAATTGATGATTCCTAATAATAATTAAATCTTAAACCTTTAATTACTTGGATCAGTTAATTGCTTGAAAAAAAACTCAAACAGATCCGATCGAGAGCTTAAATCATGTTAATGAGTGAAATTGGTGAACTAACAGCTTCTTAATTAGTTAATTACAAGCATCAATTTCTCATATACATGATACACTTAATCAACAATTAATTATAATTGTCAGTTAATTGACATTTGGCTTGTACAAAAAATGATTATAATTATGGTGATAATTGATTCCTTGATTGTTCATATCGTAACTATGTATATGTTTAAATTAATAGCGATCATTTTAATCATGATAATATTTGATCTTATTCAACACAATCTAATATTTATCAAGTTAATAAGTTATTAAGTAGATTTAATTAATTGTTTGGACGGTAAATTAATCAAAGATTGAAAGTCAAAGCTCAAAGATAATTAATAACATTGGAGAGGGAAAAAAAGAGCAAGAGAGACAAACAATTAAAAGTTAATCACTTTATTACTTTCTCAATGATTAATCTACATAAATAATATTATCAGAGAAGCACAATCAACACTAATACATTACATCAACAACAATTAACTTAATTTTGTTACTTTGTTTTGATTACTATTTTTATTTTTCGCTCTCATATTATAATTAAAACCAAAGCTACAAAGTCGAACAGGATTAATCAAGATGAACATATAAAAGTTAATCACCCAATAATTAACTAATTACCCGAGCCGATACAATGGATAAACAATAAATAGAGAGAGAGAGAGAGAGAGTAAAGTTAATCATCGTAATAATTGCAAATGGAAATTCAAATTTTCGAGAAAACTTTCGTTTTTGGACATTTGTTTTGTTCGTTATCACGAATACGAAGTAAACAAATTGAATCTCAGTTAGTTAAATATGATTTTGCTTTTTCATCCATCAAGTTATTGGCCAACAATTAATTCAATTTACTTCAATTCAAGGATAAAATAAAAAAAGAAACGAAAAGTTTTCTCTCTCTAATCTGAAATTGAATTTACTTCTCATGGATCATCATTCAGGGAAAAAAACAACAACATTTGACTTGGAACACACCTAATAAAAAATGGTGAATTTTATGCTTCTCCACGAAAATATCGATCACCATCCATGGATCACCCGGTTTTCCATCTCCCACCTTATCATCCTCCTCCCAATTCCACCTCCTCCTCCTCCTCCTTCATCTTCTTCTTCATGTACAGTTAACTTTTTCTTCTCATTCTCATTCTCTTTCCATGCTTTCTCTCTTTCTCTCTCCCACTCTTCTCTTTCCTCCCAAATGTTTCTTTCTTTTCCCACTCTCTTTTTTCTCTCTCTGTGAATTATTCCATGTTCTCTCTCTCTCTCTTCTTCATCATCTTCTCTCTTTCATATAGGCTTTTAAGTCAACGACCTTTTCCAACCAAGATCAATCTCATCAGGGTTCAACCTCCTCCTAGGAACCATGATGATGACGACGACGAAGAAGATGATGATGAGAAATGATGATGTTTCTTTTTATTCTTTCATATTCTCTCTCTCTCTCTTTCTCTCCCACTCTTCTCTTTCCTCCCAAATGTTTCTTTCTTTTCCCACTCTCTTTTTTCTCTCTCTGTGAATTATTCCATGTTCTCTCTCTCTCTCTTCTTCATCATCTTCTCTCTTTCATATAGGCTTTTAAGTCAACGACCTTTTCCAACCAAGATCAATCTCATCAGGGTTCAACCTCCTCCTAGGAACCATGATGATGACGACGACGAAGAAGATGATGATGAGAAATGATGATGTTTCTTTTTATTCTTTCATATTCTCTCTCTCTCTCTCTTCTTTCTCTCCTTCTCCTTCTCCGTTTTCATCATCATCATTTCCATCTCTCTCTCTCTCTCTTTTCTCTGGTGTTATTTATACTTCCATAGAGAAGAGGAAAAAATGAAAAGTACCTAAGATTAAACATTGGAAACTTGGATTAACCTTCATCATTATTTTCATAATTTCCCTTTTTCCTTTTGTTTTAATTCCTACGTCTTTGATTTCCCCTAAACAGTTAATCAAATACAATTTAAATTAAATTGAAATAACGGTAATCATGATGATTCACTTTTCTGTCCATCATCATGTTTAAAGATGATCATAAATTCATTGAAAGTCAACCTACTTTCCACTGATTAACTAATAACCTTTACAGTCAAAACACACAATTTATTATCACTGATTAATTCACTTTCTCATTTGAAGGTTATCAATATCATAATCAACCATTTAATCAACAACAATTAACTCTCAGACATCAATGGCTTCAACTTTTTCACGATTATCATGATATTGCTATTGACATAATAATCAATATCAATCATTAACCAGACAAACAATTAACTCTAATCATACAATATATATACAACAAATATAATCCAAACTTAACCAACCAACAGTTTCACCATTTAAATTAATCAAATTAAATCATTGTTTTAATTATTTATGCAAATCAATTTATCCTCATCCCATTGATGATACAATCAACCACAAATGATTTAAACATCAAATGAAACAATTGAAATATTGTTGTTGACACTTTTAAATTTGATCAGTGTTACTACAATTAACTAATTGTTACTCTTGCAAAGTTAATTTGATCATAAACAAATTGGAAATGATAGAAAAGGAGAAAGTAAGAGAAACAAAAATCACTTCGAACCATAAAATTGAACAGTTCAATCGATAGTTCGTTAACCTGTTATATTTACATGGATAACAACCTAGATTTTGTCCTTTCTTTCATTTACCTTTATTTTTACCTTTAATTTATTATTAATAATTTAATAATAATAATAAATTATCAACAATTATTTATAATGAGTAATAAACTTACACGGAAGACAAATAAATTATTATATTCATATTGTGATCATCATCACTATATGACTTTAATCATCATCATCAGAGTATTAAGATAATCATAATTGTTTGACAATCAATCAAGTTTATTATTATTCTCAGGTTATTAACAGAGAGAGAGAGAGAGAGACAAATGTTAATTGTTAATGTTAATTGTTACATTTTGTTTTCTGGTTGTGTTAAATATGATTGACCAAAGATGAACCTGAAATTACAAATATTTAGCTTTACAATTAAGTGAATGTTAATAGATGATTATTGTTAATTGTGTTAATTGTGACTCTGTTTCAAATTCTAATTTAATTGTAACAATTTAAGATGATATTAATTCGAGGGCAATCATGTTTTGCTTTTTTCTTTTTCTCTCTTTTTTTCTGCTTCCTCTTCCCATTTTTTTCTCGAGAGGAAGACGAAGTATCTGAACAGTTCAAGATCGATATATTTCCTTTCCCTTCTTATCTCTTGGGTTATTGAACTTTCTCTGAAAATTTCTCTCAATGAATTACTTTTCATGAGGAAAACTACAGTTAGAGAGACAAGTTTATGTTCACCTTATCATGTTTATCTGTTTCTCAGCTAATCTTTGATTCAGAGCCAACAAAAAGTCAACTAATTGTGAACCAAACTTAATTACTTTATTTTAAAATCTAAACATAATTATAACAACAACAACTTTCTTTAATTGTTTAAGGCTTGATTGATATTATACACAATTCAATTTACAAACTAATAACTAATAACTTGGAGTTAAAGTTTTTAATTGTTGTAATCATTTCGGACAATATTCAGTTGATTGTATTATCATGTATTTTTTTTGGTCCAATTTAAATCTAATTGATTTCTCGTGTTTAGTTAAATCATGATTAAGGATAGATGATGATAGATGTAAAGATTTAAGTTGAATGATAAATGACAGTAAATTAACTAACTAATTAATTTAAATTGTTCAATTCCAAATCTGTGTTTACTTACAATAGTTTATATTTAAGGTCATTAACAATGAAGGAGGGAAGGAAACAATTTATTGATTGATCCAATCAATCAATTGTGATTATCAATTCATATTTTAATCATCATTGATAAATTGTCAATCAATAATCAATAAATTGTTACACCACTTTCAAAAGTTTTAATTGTCTCTTGTTTTCTCATTAAAAGTGTAATCTCATTGGAGGCATTATTATTAATCAGCAACATTTGATTATATTAGTGATTAATAAATTGTGGTGAAAACAAAAAAAAACTCAATATTATATTGACCTAAATCAAATGCTATGGTTAACCAGGATGATTAACTGATTGCAATTAACCAGGAAAATGAAACAAATCTGATACATAAACAAGATGTTGTTACAATGATTGTTATGATTAGCTAATCGTTAACTTATATTGGGAACAGCAATTAAGACATAATTTAATTAACTGTATCCATATAAACATTGGAAGGGGGAAAAATTGTTGTTCTAATTGAAAAATTACTCGAAAGTCGAGATTAAAGTTCCGGGTTTTTCCATGATCTTGTTTCATACGATAACTCGATTATCCTGAAACCAAAAGGAAAAGATGGATTCGATTTAGAACTTTTTCTCTCTCTCTCTCTCTCTCTCTCTCTCTCTCTTCCTTTCTTTCTTTTTCTTTCTTTTCCGAGAGAAAAAGAGAAACATTGTTAACATCTTTATCTTATCTTCATCTTCTCTTTTTCTTATCATCATTATCATCTTCTTCCTCTCTTTCTTCTCTTACTTCGTCTTAAAGATTCTTCTTCCATTTTCTTCATGTGATATATTCAATTTCATCTTTGAATATTACATGGATTTCCCTTTGGACCGAGGAAAACAATTTGGTAACAATTTCTTTCGCCCAAAGTTTAAATATATCACCACAATTAGAACTGAACAGTTAATTAATCATCACAATTGCAAAATTAGAAACAACAAGCAAATTAAACAATCTAATAAACATAATAATCTATCATTAAGTTTAATCCAATTATCACATCTTATGAATTTTAATACAATTAAAGTGGATTAGTGATCATATGAGTTATCATTATTAATCATCAATGAATATGAAATTAAAGCTCAATGATACGATAATCATATGTTGATATGCCAATCAAGATGATGCTAATCATCATCATCAACTTGATTACCTTAACAATTTACCTTGACAATGAATGGAAATAAAAAAACAAGGTGAATATATTTCATCACTCTGTTTTTGAATAAATAATGCATATGATGATGATGATGAAGAAGATGATGAGGATGAGGACGAGGATGAAGATGATTATATTTATCATTTGTTATTTTCAAGTTTTACCTTGAATTTGTTTCATGGAGGATGAGAAAAAGGATGAGGAAGATAAATTTTACCATGGTCTGAATACCATTTACAGATCATTCACCTTCCATGATGATATTACCTCTTTCTTTAGCCTAAATATATTGATTTTTCTTTCTCATCTTCATCCCTATCATCATCTCATCATCATGATGCTTTTATATCAAAGAAATGATTGAAATCCATGTATTTGAATTCATGTACTTCCCTTGAAAATGATGAACAATTCCAATCAGAAATTGAGATTTTGTCTCGTCTTAACAACTTTTAATTGTTGTTGCCTTTTCGTGTTGGCATTAATTGTCACAATTAACTGATTGTAATTGCTCATTGTGAATTTATTTATGTCTTTCTTTCTGATTCTTCTCTATCTCTTTCTTTTCTGGCTCTTTCCAAATAGTCTGAGCATGATCTAATAATAGGACCTTCTGTTTTGGCAATTTCTTGTGTTCATGGTTGTGTTCAAGTTGATGATGATGATGATGATGATGATGAAGATAATACCAGAGATGAGGATGAAAAGATCTGAGGATAACAACCTCTGGTTCTTGTTTCGAGTTCATAGAATCCATGAATTCTTGTTATATATAACTCGAAGGAGGATCGATAAATTTAAGGAACTCGAAGATGATAAAAGGGGGAAAGAATAAAATTATCACATTCTCATCATCATCATCATCATCATGTTCATCATCACTAAATAACATTAATCGCAATTGAAATCATAATCGTAGCTTAATCACAATACATGAAGTTCATTGAATCCAATCGGATAATCCGATGAAAAAAAAAAGTTGGACATCACTTTCACTCATATTGTCAGGGTAGTTTTCATGATTTATTCACACAAATGGACACACAGACAATCAAATTGATTATCCAATTGACCAGAAACAACAATTTAAGATTATCAATAATTTAATTGTACCACTAATCATGATTACCGATTTCCATGTTAATATTTGATTCAGAAAACTTTTAATCAACACTTTTGACTTTTCTTGGAACGAAAAAGTTATTTAATCTGTCTAATAGTCTACAATTAGCTTTAATTGTTACACTAATTGCTAATTTGTTGACATTGCAAAGTTTTCATTGCTCATCATCATTTCAATAAACTGAATTTACTTTTCTCTCATCAACTTCATCATGATTCTCATGTTCATTATAACAGTTATTTGTCTGCGATTTTATCGATCTCCTTAATTTCATTTCATGTTATGTTCTGAACAAAGGTTGTTGTCCTCTTTTTATCATCTGCCCCTTTCTATCTTCCTCTTTCTCTTTCTCTCTCTCTCTTCCTTTTCGTCTACCTGTCTATCTTTATCTTCCTCCTCTTTCCTTTTTCCTCTGTGATTTTCATCTTCAACTGATATCATCAAAATCCTCAATCTTAAATATATTTCACTCCCAATTCTAATCTTCCATCTTATTCTTATTCTTGTCTTTTTTTCTTACCTCATCATCATCATTATCATCTTCATCTTCATCATCTTAGTTTCTCTCTTTCTCCATGTTTTCCTCTTCCTCTTTCTTTTGAGACGAAATATTATTCAAGTGTTATAAGTATAAGAACCCAAAGAAGATGAAGATAACTGATGATAATTCGGGATGATAAGTTTGGGTTTTCTTCGATACTTGAGTTTGCTCAGTTCTCGGTGGTGGATGATAAAGATGAGGCATAGAAAGAGAGAGAGAGAGAGAAAGGTGAAAATAAACCTCTTCTTTTTTTCTTTCTTTTTCTTTCACTCATTCTATTGGATTGGAAGATGATGATGAAGAAAGGGATGAGGATGATAGAGGGCAAAGAGACGTAAATATTATGTAATAGTGAATGATGATGATAAGAAAGAGAAGGCGAAAAAATCAATAGAAAGACAAAAAGACAGAGGAAACAGTTCTGACCCTCTGAAAATAAGCTTAACTGCTCAACAGAATTTAAGAACAATCAAATTAAATCGAGTATCATAATTGGCTGATATTCACCCACCAGGTAAATAACAATTAATAAACAATTTACTGATTGCCTATTGATTGAAATTTAAAACCAAGAATAACAAATAATATAAGTCAATAGTAATTGTGACAAAAAGTTGGTTTGTTTTTAATGGTAATCAAATTAATCATAACAATATAAGTTTAATCATATACATTGATGTAGTTGTTGTTGTTGTTGTTGTTGTTGTTGGGAGGGAACACAAAGACAATAAACAAAAAAGGAACCAGAATGTAAATATAATAAAAGAAAATGGTACGAACTCGAGAAAAAGTTCATTGGCCTCATGGAAATATCGATTTTGTTCAGAATAATAATGAAAAAAATAGTGACCTTTTCATCCTGTTTCTCATCTTCATCTTCATCATCATTTTCATCCATGAATCCAATGTTATTTTCTCAATACAAGGTCAACATCCCTCCTATGAATGACCTAGAATGTATTTCTTAGCTTTGCACACCTTAATTATCATTACAATTGCAAACAATTAAAGCCTATAAATTAACAATCAAAACCATCGAGGATGATTGCAAACAATTTTAGCTAATAATCAATTGCAAATTGAAATAATAATGAGAAAAACAAAAGAGAAATTGAAAACTCCCAAAATCAAATCAACTAATATTAAAATGATTGCATATTTTTTTTTGTATTTTGACTTATATATTTGTGTTTTCATCCTCATCTTATTGACAAATCAAACAATCATCACAAAACAAAACTAATCATTCAATTGCAAATTGCCATCAACATGATGGGCAACTTTTCATGATCATTATCACTTTTCATCATCATCATTGATCAATAAATGATTGTTAGGTTATCACAACAGAATAAGATGAAAAACTGAATAGAAAGAAAGAAAAAAAGATGTTGGGGTTTGTGTAGATGATGCGGATCATGATGATGATGATAATGAAAATAATGATTCCAGGAGAAAGAGAAGAAAGAAAGAGATTCAGAATAATCGATGAAAAATAGGTTGAGCTCAGGTTGATGAACTATCGATCCGGTGGAAAAAAAGTTTTCGCATTTTTCCATCAGAATAGAAAAAGAAAAGAGAAACAATTTTTGTCTCTGCGATTTTTTCCTCCCAGAGGGAAGAGAATTGATAGAGGGAGAGAGAGAGAAAAACTCCAAATTAAAAACAATTTAGAAATAAAAAAGAATTGATTACAATTAAATTAGTAGAATTTACAATTGAATTCATAATCCCACTAAATTAGAAATCCAATCAACAATTTGAAAAGAAGAAAAAAAAATTCTAAACGAAAGGATAAACATAAGAAATATTTTGTTTTCTCTTCCAACATCCAATGTCTTTTATGCAACAACGAGTAAAATAATAATAATAATAAAAAGATTGAGATTAAGATGATTACAAAGAGGTTTTTGGATTAATTAACTTCAAATAATATAGATTTTTTTATTATTGTCATTGTGGTTTTTGTTGTTGTTGTTGATGATGAGATGATTTTTAAAGATGATGATGATAATGTTAAAATCTTTTTTTTGTTGGTTGTTTTTGATGAGGAAAATGTTGATCGTTTTGGTTTAGAATTTGAGTTTTTGTTGTTGTTGTGTTGAATGTTATTGAATTTGTATTGTTTTAGTTTTTGTCTTTTTTTTATATATATATAGAGATGTAGTTGGGTTTTTTTGTTGTTTTTGTGATGGTTTTTTTTAGTTGTGTGTTTGTGTAAATTAATTATTTTTTGTAATCTTAATTAATAATAATTTTTTTGCGCTTTCCAATAATGATTATATAAATTCTTCGTCTTTTTAAATTTTGGGATTTGTTTGTTATCTTTCACTCACTCTCGCTCACTCTCTCTTTCTCTCTGGTTTTTTTGTTTTCATTTTCTCTATAATATATGCTTGAAATTTGATAATTGCTATATAATCAATTCAATTTAAAATCAATAGAAATATTCGATTAACGATATTGCATCGTTTTTTAAGATGCTCGAAGAGATAATATCCTTTTCACGGTTTGTCGATGAGAATGCGGAGAAAAGATCAGAGTCAAGTTCGGAAGAGGATAGACCTAGACCATTGGTTGTGCTGGATGAGGAGAAAGCGTTGAAAAGTGGTGAGTCGTTAAGAAATTCTCGTGAACTTGCTTCAGAATCTCCTGAAGATGAAGTTGCTGTTGATGAGGTTGCACCCGTTGTCGAATCGATGATACCTCCAGTTCTGATGGCAATGTGAGATTCAATTTCTTTCCTGGCCTTTTCTACATTCTCAGGTAACCCTGTAACCTCAAATATGGGCTCTTTATCCCGGCTTGGAGTAATTATGTAAGTATTGGTCTCCTGTTGGATTCTTTTGATTGTTGCCCCTTTTGGTCCCACTACAAGACCAACCACCCTGTAGGGTACACGAACCTGAATCGTCATTTGACCAGGTAAATTGGGATTTGGACCAAGACCAGCGAGTCCGGTACCATTGAGATTACTCTTACGTTGAGCTCGAATTTGGCTGAAATGTTCCGCGGCGGAAAGGATTTCTTTCTTAGCTGCATTAACATCCTCTTTTCGACCGGTTACCACAAAAACAGGCTCTTCACCTCGTACTGGCGTCTTTATGTAAGTATTTGTCTTTGCTCTCAGGGCCTTAATTTTACAGCCTAAAGGAATAAAGTTTATGATAGAGAAAAGAATAAAGAAAATGAAAGAAACAAAAAAATTTCGATGAGAGAGGGAAGCATTGAAACAAAAAGAAAATAAAGTATAAAAATAAAAGAGAAGAGAAAGTGAATGAGAGGAGAAAGGAGAGTAAAAGAGTGAAAGTTAAAATGCGAGAAAAATGAGGATGGAAAAAGAAAGAGAGAAATGTTGGTTATGGAGAGAAAGACAGAGTAACCAAAAAAAATCGACAGAAAAACCGACAGAGTAAAAAGGGAAAAGTAAAAGAGAGAAGAGAAATTTGAAAAAAAAAGATATTTTGAAAGAGTAATTTTTAGCGAGAGACATTTTTAAAGTGAGATTTAGAGAAGGTGATAATGTGTGTGAGTGAGTGAGAGAGAGACAAAGGCCGAGAACCGAGGAAAAAAAGAGAGAGAGAAGAAAAAAAGGCGAGACAAAGTGAAATGGTAATGAGAAAAATAGAAAGAGAGAGAAAGAGAAAGAAACAGACACACAGTAGAAAAAGTAAAGAGACAGGGACATGAAAAGAGAAAAAGAAAGAAAGAAAGAGAATAGAAAAAAAGAGATACAAAATAAATGCGGTAATGAGAGAAGAAAAAAATGCGAGAAGGAGAAGAAAAAAAGAGAAGAGAGAATAATTTTCAATGTAAATACCTTGTCGTCCAACTATCTCGGCAACGTGTTCCGATGAGGGAACTGGAACACATTCTGTTGTATTTTGACTTTTCTTTGTCCTTGATTCAATCTCAAAATTATGATTAACACTGTTGTTATTGCTGAGATTATTGTTGCTTGTTGAAATACTGTCATCATCCTCATTGATTAATCCCAACATGGATAATTCAAATGCAAGTTGTAGAGCTCTTTGGTCCTCCAATCCATTACTATTAACAACACTATTACTATTACTATTAATATTATTATTATTATTAAGATTATTAAGATTATTACTATTATTATTGTTGATTGTAGATTCACAGTCGTAGAAAAATCCAGCAGGCATGGTAAATGTTTAAAATGTTGTTTGTTTGTTGATGGTGATGATGATGATGGTGATTGGTGATAGTGAGATGGTTAACAATTATAATAGATTTATTTTCAATGATAATTATTAAGAAATAGTTTAATTGGTGATTAAAATTGTATCTGGTGTGTGTAGTATGTGTGTGTGTGTGTCTTGAAAAAAAAAGAAACAAAGAGATGGAGAGAAAGACACCAAATACATACAACAAACAAATAAAATTACACACACAGAGACTTACAGAGTCAACATACAAATAAAAAACTCTCTCAATGAACAGACCATATAAATACGAACAACTTGTGCCATCTGGCGGTCAATTTTATTCTATTCTAAATGTGAGTTTTCTCTTTCTTTTTTCTCTTTCTTTTTTCTCTTTCTTTTCTTTCTTCTTTATTTTCTTTTCTTTTTTCTCTCTGTGAATTTTTTTTCTCTTCTCTCTCATTTTTTTTCTCTCTCTCTCTCTCTCTCTTTCTCTCTGTGTTTTGGATTTTAAGCTTTTCGTTTGTATTATTATTATTATTTGGAAGATCATCTTGTTCGTCTTTGGAACGTTAAAATTTCGGTCTCTTTGGATTTTCTTTTTCATTTTTTTGTTCTATTCTCTTTTTCTCTCTTTCTTTTTTTTTCTTTGCTCTCTTTGGTAGGAAAAGGTTTTTACTCTTTGGTGGGATCATAGAGATGGAGAGAGAAATGGACTTACCAGTTGATGTTACTGTTTTTCGCAAGCAAAAATATTATTTCGGCCATTTTTTGTCTTTCTTTTCTTACCTTTTTCTCTTCTTTCATCTTTCTTACCTTTTTTTCTCTCTCTCTCTTTCTCTTCATCTTTTTCTAGCTTAAGTTTCTTCGCCTTCTTCGCTTTAACCTTGAGCTTGTTAACATCTTTCTTTTGTTGTCTTTGTTTCCCTCCTTTTTTTCTTGTCTTTTGTTTGCCTTTCTCTTTTCTCTTTCTTTTCTTTCTTTTTCTCTTTTTCTCTCTTTCTCCTCTCTTCGCACTCTTATCATCTGCTATTCACCTTTTTCTTCATCTTCATCATTTTTCTTCTTTTTTCTCTTAGCCTTCTCTCTCTCTCTCTCTCTCTCTCTCTCTCTCTCTCTCTCTCTCTCTCTCTCTCTCTCTCTCTCTCTCTCTCTCTCTCTCTCTGCTATTTTTGTCTGTGTTTCAACTTCTTTTTCTTATGTCGTTTTCTTAATTCAGGTTTTTTTTTCTTGGTGATGATGATAATCCCAAACTGGTTCGGAGCATTAATTTCGCTTTCACTGAACCATGTGGTTTCTTTGTGCTAATGATCTAATGGCCTTCATACGACTGATGATGGGTTTGTGTTGTTGTTTGGTTGGTTGGCTGGTTCCCTGCATCACTGGCTTATTACATGTTGCTTGTTGTTGATTAGGAGCAATAGAAAGAGAAAAAGAAGAAGAAAAAAAATAGTTAACAAAAAACGCAACTTCAACTACACAACCAACTTTTGGAATCTCTGGAAAACTACAAACCATACATACACTTACACCAAACACGCATTTATAGTGTATATTATGTTCAAGGTATTTACCATTGTTGACCAATTGTTGTTAACCGGCTAGACCAACACATGAGAATTTAAAAAGATTTCATTTTGTTGCTTTTCTAATACAAATTTTTGTTTTTCTTTTCTTTTCTTCAGAGAAACGACCCAACCAATTTACGATTCTCTAATCATTCCAGTCACTCACTCATTTCTCTTTTTACACTTTAAATTTATGGTACTAATTAATTCTCAACCTTTTAACCGGCACAATTAAATTCCCGACGATGACAATAACTACCCTCATAGTGACGATATTACACCGGTAACCTTTGTTTTTCTTTCTCTTTAACTTTAACAATTTAGATTTTATTAGTTTTTTGTTTCTTTCAATAAGATGATGATATTACAATTCAATTTATGTAAACCAGAGACATAGATATGAACGCATTCATTGAATTAATATTATATATTTTTTTTTTAATTATTTTTGGCAGCTTTGTCAATGGATTGATAAAGATAGAGGAGATGGAGAGAGAAACGTTGATAATTGAATAAGAATCATAAATCAATTGTTTGTGTATGTTTTTCTCGTTTACCATTGATTAACGTTGTTTTCTTTGCTTTTTTCTTATTCTTTTCTTATTTATATTTTTTTCTTTCTTTCACTCGATTTTAGGTTAAACTTTTCACAATAACATCTTCCTTTTTTTGCAATCTTTGGCTCACATAGAGAGACTATACACTGGAAAGGATTATCCTCCACAAAAACATACACTCGCCATACACAAAAAAAACATTCATACACACAAACAGAGGGAAATAGAGAAGAGAGAGAGAGAGAGAGAGAGGAAAACAGAGCGGATAACAGAGAGAGTGGTGGTTTTGGGTTAAGGTCAACACCCAATATGGTCAACAACAACAAGTCTTTTCGTTATTCGTTATTTTTGGCAAATATTTGGGTTTGTTTTCTTTTTTTTCTTTATGTGACGATGTGAAACCATCTTTGATTTTATTTGATTTTTCTTCTTTACTCTTCTTCCTCTTCTTCCTCTTCTTCCTCCTCTTCCTCTTCTTCCTCTTCTTCTTCCTCATCCTCTGGTTGAGCTGGAGCACCAAACCTAGGAGCTGATCGTGGTGGTGAAGGTTCAGGAGCTGAGTACGGCTTGAAAGTGTCCTAAAGGGAAAAAAAGATGAAAGACAAAAGAAGGCGAGAAAAAAACAAAGAAAGCATTAGAAATTAGTTTGTTTTCTTTTTTTTCTTCCAAAAATCATAAAACTTTAAAAATCTTCAAAGTTTTTAAAGTGAATTGAGGTTTAAGGGCAAACCAATTAACTAGGGAATATAAATACACGTTGAGAATAAGTTCGTGTGCCCAGTAATAATTTCTAGTTCTAACTAGAAGAAAAAAGAAAGAGCTATTAAAGAATAAGAAAAAGTAGATTTAAGATCATCTTTTGTTTCTCTTTCTTTTCTATCGCTCTCTCTCTCTCTTTCTTTCTCTCTAACAACGTTTGAATCCACAATCAATCAACTTAACAGCATCTATATAACAAAGTTGATTACACTTACAATGTTAACTACATTTCTCGTAGTTAGTAGTCGCCATCTAGTAGTTAAACTGATTCCCTCTATTTTTCGCTCTCTCTCTCTTTCTTTCTCTTTCAAGTGTTATCACCTCACCTGTATTGAAATTGTCTTACCTTTGGTCAGTTTGTTAAAAGTTTCTTTCTCTCTCATTCTCTTTGCCCTTGATTATCTATGGATTTTGTTTACTTTTCTTTCTCTTCTTTTTCTTAGTAATAACTTATATAGAAAGACACACTTCGCACACCATCATCATCTCTCTTAATCTGTTAATTGTAATTATAATCTCTTAATCGGCTGACCACAAGCTGGAAAGATTATTTCCCCCAAGTTAATTATATATTTATCCACCTTTAAGGGTAAAGGTATCAACAATTTAAAGGTAGAATAAGAGGAAAGGAAAAGAAAGGAAACCACAACAATTAACTAACCATAACATCAAAATCATCAGTATCATCATAGGTCCTTGTTCCAGGTTCATAGGTTTCCTTGTTTTTCGGGTTAGATGGATCCCACTTCATCAATTTTGGTGATCCACGTTCCTTATAATCCTTAATCCTTTCTTCCCATGATTTTTCAAGTTGCTGTTTATACAATTCTTCCCAACCCTGGATTTAGAATTAAAAAAAAAAGAGTTAATCATTGGGTTGGTGAAGAGAATCCAAGGAAAAAACTTACGCCTTCGAAAAGAGCCTTTTTATCCTGAAAAGTGTACCGGTCGACTCGTCGTTCATATTTACTTGCGACATTGATCTTTGGTGGATATTTTCCAGTAAAAGCTCTACAATTAAAGAATTACAATTAAAAATTAACAATTCGTCAAGGTGAATTTCAATTGTAAACTTACTCTGGGTCTAAACCTTTTTTCAAAGCTTTGTTCCTATTGATCTGTCGTTGACGTTCATTCAATTCTTTCAACTAATGGATTAGCAATGAAAAACAAGATTAAATTTAATTTTACAGGGAAAACAAAGTGGCCTTTCCAAAGAAAAACTCACATCATAATCCTGTCTCTTTCGCCGCTCCTCAAGATCATATTTGTCACTCTCTAATTGGATAATTTGTTCCCAAAGTTCAGCGGCTTTTTTACGAAGATCATCTTCATCCATGTTATCAATTTTTAGAGGTTTAACTCTCAATCCAAGGGCAATGGTTTTCTCTTCAGCCAATTGTTCCTTTGTTTTGTTCAATTCAGCTCGAGCAAACATCACATTGGAAAACTGGAAATTCCATTGAAAAGAAGAAGAAGAGAAAAAAATTCCAATCATCATTATATTTAATTCAAACCCCCGCAGGAGATGAAAGAAGGAGAGGAAAAAAAAGATAAACATGAAGACCGGAAATGGCTAATGGAAACCTCCATTATTATCAACGTGTGTTCACCAATTAATTACCTTATCTTGACCCTGTCCTTGCGTCGAACCTCCTTCTTTCTTGGTGATAACGTAATTTGGTTTAACCGACTCTTTCTGCTTCTGTAAAGCCGCAGCCATGGCTTGTCTTTTACGTTCAGCTTCTTCTAATCGTTTACGTTTGGCCTCAGCTTCTCGATTTTTTTTCTCTTCCTGTGTTGAGTGGATGATAGAAATTCAAGAAGAAATGTTAGATCAACAGGCTGATAGTATTGATAAGTATTTTCTTGGAATCACTTTAATGAGTAATTTATCATTTTTTCCTTTGATATTTTATGTTTTCCGTTTTCTCAATAGGATCCTATGGGGTTTTCGACACATTTACTTACAATCTCCCGTTGTTTCTGCTCATCTTGCTTCTTTTTCATCGCAAGCATCATTTTCTCTTGTTCTCGGCGTTGATCTTTTCTTTTGGCCTGTCGCTCTTTCAATTTCTTCAAATCTTCTTCTTCCTTGGCCCGGGTTTTCTTCATTTGTTCTATATATTCGGCCCACATGGATTCTTCTTCCTCCTTCTTTTTTCGGAGTTTTTCCTGTTGATTATAAAAGAAGATGAGGCAAAAAAGAGTAGATACAATTCATATTTAATTAATGATAAAATTTATGATCAACTCAATTTCATCATCACCTTAACAGTAATATGGTTGTTAAACTAAAGAGACCGAAAATGAGGATCGATTGGTTTACATTGATCATCTTTTGTTAACGGAAATTTCGTTACAAAACTGTAACGAAATTTAGCTTTCTGAGTAACCAGAACTTTTGAAAAGATGAGAAGCAGAAAAATCGATCCTTGTTTTCTTCTCTTCTCTCTGAGTTATTGCCCAAAAAGTGGTGGAAAAAGTGATAGAAAATAAGAAGAACCCAAAAATAGAGGGAAAAAATGAGGAAACGACGAGGAAAAAGAAAGAGAAGAAAGAAAAAGTTGATCAGTATTGATGAACTTGGCCAAGTTCCAATTTCTGTTTAGAGAAGAAAAAGAAAACCTAATTGTCAAAAAACAGATTAAATTGTTGAATTTTCCCAATGACTTTCTGCATATATACTCAGCTAAACGAAAGAGGCTTAATCCAGTTTCGCTAAAGTTGAACTTGGTCTAAAGCCAAGTTATTTTCTTTCAGCATTTCTCTTTCTTCTCAACTGTTTAATCTTCCATCATGTTTACCATCTTATTATTTTCTCTCTGTAACTTTGCTTCATCATCATCATCTTCATCTCCTCACAAACATATATTTATGTTCAATGAATTTCAACTAATTAACATTAGTTGGTGGTGGTGGTGGAACCACCAGTGGCTTCAATAAGCTCTCTCCCTCTCCCTCTCACATAGGCTCTAATAATAATGAGAAAGCAAAGTTACTAAGGACAATTTAAAGGGTGTAAAAGTTTCCAATCTTAAAATCAACAATTAACTAGCTAAAAGTTAATTGTTTTTACATTCGTTGATTTAACAGGCGAAAAACTAATAAAAAACAATTGGCTTATAGATTCCGATTCTGATCAATTCCTAACATGAGATGAGAATCCAACACATTGTTGATTATCATTCTCTGGATTTAATTGTTGATATTTTGTGGTAAATTTGGTTAATTGTTAATGAAAGGTGATAATGATAGTTAATGATTGTTATACATATAATTTATTGAATTTTAAACTTACCTGTAAATTGTTATCAACTTCAGTCATGGTGTCGTTTGTAGATTAGACTCTCTCTCTCTGTATATGAATGAGTTAAAGATGATTGAAATTAATTGTTGATTTCTAAATCACTTTGGAAAGAAACTAGATTATAACAAAATTAATAGTGATTTATGTTGATCAATTAAGATGATTATCTTTTTCGTTCACTGATGATGCGGAAAAGAAAACTTTTTCGTTGGAAAATTAAAATGAAACTTATGATATGATTAAGATGATAATGTTACTGATGATGATGAGATGATAATGAGGATGAAGATGATGAAGGTAATTCGTAATTAATTTTGATTAATTTGTGATTAATTGTGATTAATAAACAATATATATAAACATACACAAACTGAGGCACAATAATCAAGTTGATTGTTGTAAACCTTGTATCCAACTGTTGCGATATTCAATTGCCAGAACTACTAAGAATTTTTTTTTCTTCTCATCTTTATCTTCCCCTCATCTTCATCATCTTTATCATCTTATATACTCTTTCTTTTTTCCCTGTGAGTGTTGTTTTGGTTGCTGTTCTATTTTATCTAGAACCCAACAAATTTAGACCTCGAAATAAGAAAGTAAACTTCAACTGCTACCAAAACGAAAATAAGTTTTTATCGTTGATTCCTGAGCATTCTCAGTCTTATCATCCTCATCATCATTCACCAGTATTCAGAGATCCAAGTCATTTAACAGAATCTATTTTGATCAATGGACACTTTAGACTTTCAGAGATCCTCAGGTTTGATTACTTTCTCCAGTAACTTACAGTTATTGTAATGAGACAACAATTAACATCATGGAGATTAACGATTGTCCGTTGGAAGATCGTTCCAGAATTGATAGACGTTATTAGAATAGATGAAATCTAAAGATAACTCATTTGGATTGTTTCAATGTTGAACTTGAATAGTAATGAGGTGGAGAGAGAGAGAGAGAGTTGGATCCTAATTAAACTGTTGAAGAGAAATTTTTTAATGGATTAGTTGGTTGTGAAAGGATTAGAATAGTTTTATACTTACTAATTGTCTTAGCATTTTTATTCAGTTAAATGAACAGTTTTTCAATTGAATGCATCATGGTGATTAATTATAGATCTGAAAGCAAATCAAAGTTCAATTAAAAGGTTCAATCAAATGGTTGGGAATCGCATCTGATCTGGAATATTTTCCTTGGAGAGAATTCATTGTTTGAGGTTCGAATGGAGAAAATGAAATTCTATTAGTATCATCTCATTTATCCTTTGGCACCAGCAATTAAATCACATCTTTTTTTTTATCTTAATTGCGATCAAAAGCAACTAATCAACCAGATAGAAGCCTAAGAACAAAATGAAAATAGAAATGCAGAAATTAGAATAGAGCGCCAGAAGAATGAAATTAGAGTGATTTTAATTGTTCGGTTTTATCATAGATCAAATTGACAGTAATTGATTCTAATTATGTTTACCTGAGGAAAAGTTCCATTCATGTACCATGGAGAAAAAAAGAAAACACAATAATCCATTGAATGTGATTAATTTTCTTCTATTATGAGCCAACCAATTGCTGTGGAAACAATAAAAAAATCAATTTAAAAGATTGCAGAAAATTAACAGAACGGAAGAGAGAAGGAAAAAAAGACTTACCATTGAGCAGAAATTAAGTATTAATAATAACCATCAAGAGAATCTTGTTGGTGTAAAATGTCAACTTCATGTGATGATGATGATAATTCACATGGGGAAATGTTTCTCAATTGATGAAGAAATTGAAATGAGACAATTCAACAGCTGATGGAACATTTTTCCTCTCATTCAATTAAACGAGGAATCAATTTGTAGACTAATTCACTTTGACTGAAAGAAAACACTGAATTCAAGTTCATCAGATAATCTCAATACAATTGCATGAAGAACATCGGAGATTTAAATGAATTAATTTCAATTTAATCAACAAATTAATAATTTGAAATGAAAAAAAAAAGAAACGAAAAAAACTGTCAACCCGAATTCGAAAATAAAAAACCGCGTTGTCATGGTAACCGGTAAGCAAAAAATTCGCTAATTTAATTAATTCTCTCTTTTTAATCGTCTAATTAAATTCAATTAAATTATTGATTATTTAATTTACTCGATAATATAATTAATCAATAGAAAATGAAAAACTATCAACCATCTGTAACGTAAATACAAACCAAATGCCGGTTATCGGAATTGCGGTTATCGAATCCGCTTCGAGTCGAAAATTAATTTTAATCAATTTTAATTGTTGATTTTTTCACTTTTTCATTTAATTTGATTAAGAAATCAGAGTTTCCTTTTCCTCACTGATAGTTAATTAACATTATTCCAATGAAAAACTTAAATCATTTCTATAATTTGCTTTTTCCTTTAACTTGTATTAGTAAACTGATCAATTAGATAAGATGAACAATTAACTAATTAACTAATTAATTGATTGTTATGGGAAGTTCAATGTTCTTTTATCGTCTAATTATGTTTATCCTTTAAGCCAACAATCAAATCTATTCCTGACCAACTGATATCAGAATAAGTAAACAATTAAAAAGAGGAAAAAAAATCTAAATTGTCCTTTGATTAAGTTAACATATTTAGAGTGAAAAAAAAAACATTATTAATGATCAATTGGAGATAATTATCCTTTTCCATTTTGTTTAATTAGTTACAGTGAATGTTAATTGTTGATCTATTAAATTGATAGATTGCTGATCATTACGATGAGGGAAATAGATTAAAATCAACGGGAAATCAACAAATGATCTTGAAGATGTTCAAACAATTAGAATTTAGTTTTAATCGAATAGATAAAAAAAACAGTTTTCGTATTGATTGAAAGTTTCGAGTTTAAATTATCCTGGTTATCCGATTAACTAATCACCTCAAGAATAATTGTTAACTTTGGTGAATTTCTGATTCTGTTGTACTTTAATCATTAATTAACTCTAAATGATAAGATAGTCTTTTGATTTCAATGAGAAGGTTAAATAATCATTTGAAGAGCACAATTAGTTATCTCGTTTGTATGAATAATCAGTGATGATTAGGATGAATTTTTTTGGTCATTTTTAGTTGTAAATGATGAAGATGATTAAAAAAAACGATAAAGATGATGATGACTATGAACTACAATATGAGGATGGCAACAAAATCTCAGGCAATAAGCTAAGTGATGATTATGATGATGATGATGATCCACTTATCACTTATAAGACAAACACACTGAGAGATTAACGGGAATTGATGAGTTTCAATTGATGTGTAGAAGGAAAAATATTGATTAATCTATCTGGTGTAAAGAACATCATCAAAATCAACTTGATTAACGATCGATGGTCCAGCGGGATGTTCCATTCGCCGTATCACAAAACTAAACGCGAGGGTTAACATAATCGTAGTGAAATTAAGACACAACCAGGTAATTAAAGGTCTTTCTCTTGTTTCAACGGACAGAATGATGGACAATAAGATGAGAGAAGCAGCAAGACAATAGCTTAACATTAATTGGTACACTTGACGTTTGACCGAAAAAAATCCCAATGTATGAGTACCGATGGCGAAAATTAGGAAAACAACAGCGTAAATGGAAGCAGCCAGAATTGAAGCTCCACCAAAATCATCGTGATTCGCATGGTCGTTTATGTAGGCCAACACGATTGGAATTAAGAGAATACAGATCATCACATTGATCGCCAATAACAGTAGAATCACATACTTAATGAACAACCAGCCGGAGGAAAGGTGATAATTGTTTGGTTTGTTGAGCCAAGAATAAAGTAAAGCCATTACTTTGGGTTTTCTCTTTCTTTTCTTTCTTTTATCAATCTCTCTTTCTTTTTTTCTACTAGAAAAAAAAAATAGATGACAAAATGACGACGGGAAAGTGAGAAGGGAGAAGAGAAATATTAATTTATCATCAAGATGATGGTGGTTGATGATTTTATCGCTGGTAAGTTGTTATTGTTATGACAACCGAGAAGATAAAAGTTAATCCAAAGTGGATTTTCAAAATAATATGAAAATAAAGATCAATGAGATAAAATTTGTTTGGAGAACTTTTTTCTTTTTCTTTTACAACCAATAGGAAATCGAGGGTCATCTTTGTCCGAATCAAGGTCAACCTGTTGGATTGACCTGTTGGTGGGATCTTCGAATCTCTTAAAATATCGGTTCTGTTGTTTTCTTTTTGGAGAAATGAAGATGATCAGGTTGATTGAATTTCTTGGTTGTTTTTTGGTCAATATTGATGAGAGAACTTTGAAAAAATGCTTAACAATTAGATTAATTAATGTTTACACTTTCGTAAATCAACTGTTGATTGTTTTCCAGAAATATATTGACAAAGATATTGACACATTTTCTTTGTGAATTGGACACTCGATTGACCTTTTAATTTAGGTAGAAAGTCACGTTTTGATTGTGAAAGATTTTTTTAACTCAGAATCGCAGTTAAGAGCCAAAAGTAATTACAATGGATGGACAATGGTCATCATTTTAATGAGATTTGAAGTTAGTTTTCTGCACTTTGATGAATGAAAATGGTCAAAGAGATGAAATTTCTTTGAACTTTTCTCTTGGCGATTAATCGAGGACTTTGAGTTCCAATTTGTAGCGATCTGTTGGTTGGATCATCGAATCAATTAATTCTATCTATCGTGTTTCTTGTGTTTCTTTTTATGTTCCTTCTTTTTATCCTTTTTATGTTTCTTTTTACTTTTCTTTTTCTTCTTTTTCACAATAGATGATGATGTTGATGATTTCTTCTCGGCTTCAATTAGTTCTTTAATCTTCTTCATCTTTAAAGGATTATTCAAAATCTTTCTCGCCTCTTCAAGTTGTCTTTGTTTCATCGCAACCAACGGGTCATCTGCTGATAGTCTATTGTTGAATCTTGATGTACTAGGAAGATCAAGAATTGACTGAGGAACAGATTCATGAACAGGAACGTCAATTCTTTCACCTTTTTCCTCCCTTTCGGCCAATTCAAAGGTCTTATCAATTCTTCGTCCAGTTAAATAAGATTCTCTGTCAACAAGACCAGAAACACCTTTGTACATCCAATCCAATTTCTGTTCTGACATTTTACAAAAACCTTCAACACTAAATATTCTTTCCAATAAGAGCAAAATAAAAATACAAATAAAATTAGAAAATATAAAAAAGTAGATCACCAAATTAACTTTAATTCACTTAGAAAACAACAAAAACCTTCAAAGAGAATCAACTAAATGTAAACAAATGAATTTTCAAAAATGCTCGAAGTTTAGCCGTTCGGCTTGACTATTTTCACTAATTTCGCTCTTTAAATGTTGAAATGTTTTCTTTGTCCTAACAATTAAATTGTCCAATTTTTTTCTTTCATTTTCATTTAATTTAGTTACGTTTACATTTTTTAATCCATTTTATTTTTAACTACTTAATGACTCTCACTACTTAACCTTTAATTAGATTAGTTGAATATCTTGTAATTTTTTAAAACCAAGTTTAAAAATCTATTTGTCTTGAGATTGGAAAATTTCAAATTCTCAAAAAGCTTAAAAAAAGCTAAATATTAATTGATTCATTTCATGTAAGTATCTCTTTTTGGTTAATTGTTTCAACTTCTATTTGATTAAGGTGGTGATAATTGTCTCAATTGTGTTAATTAGTAATGTTTAATCTTAAATCTTGTTTCTTTCAGTTTGTTTTCCTTCACTTTCTTTGTTTCTTTCTCACTTTCTCTCTCTGGACTTAGATTTTGTTTACAGGTAATTTTTTGTTCTATTTGATTTAATAGTTTGATGGTTGCTTAGTTTATCGTAGTTATATTATTTGCTCAGAATTATGATTATTACCATGATAAATAGAGATAAATACCTGTTAACATGTTAAATCAAATGGAATAGTTTCTTTTCTTTCTCACACTTTTTCCCTCTCACTGGAATCACTGTTTGATTATTAGCTTTTTTTCATGTTCACATTTTGAATCATCACCATTCAAGATTAAGTTACATTTCCGTAGTCAATTTTTAACTAATTGTTCTAAATTCTCTATTTTTTTCCAGGTAACCATCCAACAAATCACATCTATTTCATCTTGTTCTCAACACAACCACACCTAGAAGTTAAAACCCTCTCATTCATTTCTCTCCCTCTTGTTTTATTTCTCTCTCTCTCTTGGTTATTGATGTTATTGTTTTTCTTCTTTCAATTTTTCTCTCTACGAGTTTGCAATAACTGAGTGAGTCTCATAGAGATAAGAGTTATTAGTAAATAAACTAATTACAATCAGTTAACCAAGAGAATAAACTAATTTCGGTTAGAAAGGAGAGGAGAGAAAAAGACAGAGAAAACTACAACCAACAAGTGGAATTAAGTTATTACATCTTCTGGTTGATTGATTCTTTAATCATCCATTTTATTGGTGATAAGTGAAATTCTACTTAGTAACTCAAGGATTTAATCAAGAAGAGAAAACGAATTAGATTAACATGGTAAAAGGTAATAGAGTTGGTGTTGATCAAGATCAAGATCAAGTTACTGTAAGCTTAGAAATGGATCGGGTAAGTTTTCATTTTCTATTCTTTTATTTTCTATTCTTTTTTATAATAATTTTTCCTTTAACCTGTTGTGTCCTACCTGTAGATTTGGAAACCAGTATTTGACAAATATGACACAGATGGAAATGGTAGAATACCAATCGGTGCATTTAGACGTCGTATCATGGAAGCAAATGAAAGGCTCGAAGAAGACATTCCTCGTGAAGTTCTTGATGAAATTATCGAAAGAGTTGAATGGGATCATGATGGTTACATTTCCTATTCCGAATTTATCTCAATGGTTAGTGGACTTAATCAGATGACAATCTCATTCAAAATTTATAATCTTTTTTGTTCTCTTTGTGCTCAGGTTAAATCACGAGAAATGGGAGCTCATAGACCGCGACTTCATCGATTAATCCGTTATGCTGCCATTGCTGTTGTCCCTAAATCTCAACGACAATCGGTGATTAGACGTTACATCGAGGAGTATAACTGTTCACCTCCGCCATTGTTTCTTATGTTAATCTCTATTGTAGAGATTGCAGTTTTTATCTATTATTGTGTTAAAATGAAAACTTTCTCAGCCACCGGTCCAGTGCCTTTTGATAGTTCTCTTATTTATGATCCTTATCGTCGTTACGAAGTTTGGAGATATCTCACCTATGCTCTAATTCATGCCGGATTTTTTCATCTTTTCTTTAATCTACTTGTTCAACTTCTTCTTGGTATTCCATTGGAAATGGTCCATAAATGGTAATTATAGTTCCCGTTCCAAGAATCGTTCAGCTCTTAGGGCCCGATTAGCTTTTATTGACAAGCGAAAATCTCTCTCAACATTTCCTTGTCTGATTATGAATCGAACTCTCTAGAGAGAAAGAGAGAGAAATAATAAAAACCTTCTTCTGTATTAGTTTATTTATTATTCTCTCTCTCAAGTAAGAAAAATCGATCTACAATAGAGAAAGAAAACCAAGAAGAATTGAACGAATCAATTTTTGTTCGTCAACATGGTGGCTTCTTCAACGAAGGTTTCTCAACTAATAGTTTCTAATTCTGATCAGAAATTATTGTCTCTCTTTCTTTTCTTTTCTTTCTCTTTTGTTCTTCCCTCTGATTCCATTATCAACGCTTATTGTAATTTTCATGTACCTGTGGATGAATCAATTGAGACTCCTCGATTGAACCTTCAATTTTCTTCTCTTTTTTTGTTGATCGATTTATGAACAATTGTCTCATTATCTTTTTTCTGTTAATTGTCGTCTAGGTGGAGAGTCGGTCTAGTCTACTTGAGTGGTGTATTAGCGGGATCTCTTGGCAGTTCACTTTCAGATCCGAAATCATATTTGGCCGGAGCATCGGGTGGAGTCTATGCATTAATAGCTGCACACTTGGCGAACGTTGTTATTGTAAGTTGAAAAAATTACAATCAACTAATCAAGAAAATAATCTCACATTTATGATGTTAATTGATTAATATACTTGTCAACATCATATGTTTTTAAATTTTATTCAAATTAGATCATTTTTGGGAGGATTTTCAGTTTAATCAATTGTAATTTTAGATTATTATGAAAAAATAATTACTCTAATTGAATTGTAATTCATATTTATGAAAATTTAACTAATCATTTTTCATCTTTTTATAGAATTTCAATGAAATGGAATTTGGTGTAATCAGAGCAGTCGGATTAGTGGCATTTGGTACCATTGATGTCGGTGTTGCGATGTACAACCGTTATACTCAAAGTGAAAAAACTCGAACCTCTTATTCAGCCCACTTTATGGGTGCATTAGCTGGTTTTCTTGTCGGTGTAATGGCCTTAAGAAATTTAAAGGTCAAAAAATGGGAAAAACGACTCGGCATTATCGCTTTGGTGTTATATGTTATTCTTATGGGATTTTGTATCTCTTTTAATTTTGGTTATTCTGATTACTTTCCAAAGCCTCGTAAATAATTCACCTCATCATCATATCCATAATTGTGGCAATCAAGGAAACTACTACTTCAACCTACCAGCAACATCTATTTTAATTCACTTGGACACTTAATTGTTACAAATTGCTCAAACTACCAAATATTTTTGCCTTCAAGAGGAAAATCTTTTCCATAATCCAAGTTTTTAAATCCAATAGTTACATATCTTTCATCCTCATCATTTTAATTTTCCAACAAACTATCAATTTGTTTTTTAAAATGCTACTGTGGGTATATTACAGTTTCGTCAATATTTTAATTAAATATTGAAGTTACTCTTTCTGTCTTTTGTAAATTTTCACAATACTTAAGTTGAATTTGTCAAGAACATGTTACAATTGTCAGATTCTTTTCCAATGCTGTTCTGGATGAACTCAGGTCAGTTTTGATCTGGTTTGGTCGATTTGAACATAATTAATGTCCAGTTAACAATAATTATGGATCTTGGACAATTTTTACTTCTATCTTTTTTAAATTTACAAAAACAAATGATTGACTCAAATGTCTAATTAAAAGATTGGCGAAACTTAATTCAGTACCACTATTACAATATCAACAATTTAAATCAATGTTGATATTCAAAATGATCAACAATAAACACTTTACAATAGTAATCAGGTTTGTCTTGATTTTATCTACCTCTTGATTTTCAACATTTCAATTCTTACAATAATCATTTCTGGTAATTAATGATCAATCTTGTTTACAAGAAATTGCATTGATCAAAGATCAATATGATCAACTAATCACAACAGTCAGACACTCATGATTATAAACATGGAGTAAAACAAACAAAACAAACAACCGATTCATTTTTAAATCGATTTGCATAAAAGAATCGATTTTCAGTCATTCGGATTTTCGATTCTCATTGTTGTGCTTTTTAAATTTAAATGTTTTACCAACAGTTTTTTCTTGAATTTTGGTTTAATTCAGTTGTGTTTACAATTTTTGCATCCATTTTATTTTAATTATTTTTATGTATTTTTTTTAAACGAATTTTAAAAATCTAGTCGTCCTAAAATTACCTAATTTCAAAAAACTCCAACAAAATCTGAGAATCAAATGATTCATTTCATGTGAGTATCTCTTTTTTTGGTTAATTGTTTTAACTTCTTTTTGATTAAGGAGGTGATAATTGTCTTGAATTGTCTAAATAGTTTCTTTCTCACACTTTTTCCCTCTCACTGGAATCACTGTTTGATTATTAGCTTTTTTTCATGACATTTTGAATCATCACCATTCAAGATTAAGTTACATTTCCGTAGTCAATTTTTAACTAATTGTTCTAAATTCTCTATTTTTTTCCAGGTAACCATCCAACAAATCACATCTATTTCATCTTGTTCTCAACACAACCACACCTAGAAGTTAAAACCCTCTCATCCATTTCTCACCTTTTGTTAAGAGATGAAGGCTCATAACACGAACTTGGATTTCTCTGATTCCGATGATTCTTTTCTCGATGTTCCAATTTTCCAAAGACTCGGATTGAAACTTGCGAATACTGATGATCAAACTTCCACAATTACCACATGTAAAATACCATCATATCAAAGTATTACTCCTCCCACGACTCCATTGAAAGCTCGTATAGATCATCAACCAATAACAATAATCGATGATGTCGAAGTTATTGAAGTTATTGAGGAGACTGTTGTTCCGTCAAAGAAACGTAAAAGTCCAGAGGATAAAACAGCAAAAGCTGAAGAGAAAAAGATTCGAGAAAAAATGAAAGTCAAAGATAAAGAGAAAAAAGCAGCTCTTCGAGAAGCCGGAAAAACGAAGCAATTAACAAATTGTCATAAATTCTGTAAGACTTATGTTGATGTCGCCTTGTTGGAAAGATTCAAAATAACCGATGAAATTCAAGCGATTTTCAAGGAAAAAGAAGCTCAACTCATTATTGAGACAAATAATCCAATCGATTTTGGTATCCATTGGATTCGAGAGCAAAGAGAAATGATAGAAGATGGAATTGAAGAAGAAGCCACAGTTAACATCCTCAGGAAAGAAGTAGAATCCGATATAATTCTCAAAGTACTAGACCCATCTGATTATATTCCACTCGTAAATTGTTCGATATCCAAGATAGAACTCGAATCAAGTGATGACGATGATTCACTCGGAGAGAGATGCAGTTCAACCTTATTTGAATATGTGACTTCACTTTTGGATACTTATGACAAAAACTTAACCCTAATCCTCTATGGATTTGACAAATATAATAATCAGCAAAAGAATCGCGAAAACGCCGAGTATCGAGCTAAAATGGGTTTAGCCAAATCGCGAACCAATAAAAACAAAGATATCCTACCATGTGTGAAAAAAAGTGACCTGGACTTGGCTCTATTTGACCTTCAAGTAAAACTAACAGAATCACCAACTTACTCAAGCAAACGTGTCCACATTATACAAACGGAAACACCAACTGATCTTTGTCACATTATTTGGTGCCATTCAAAAGCAACGGCAATGTGTTCAATTAAAAAATCGCAACAGGAACAACAAGGTCTTGAATGGTATGCACAAAATGACGGCTATGGGTCAGTCGATATTAACACCGATAGTGATATAACCTCCCTTTGGGTCAAACAGCTGATGTCCTTTACCAAAATGTCCGAGAAATGGCCAAATCGATAGCTGAGGTTTACCCAGTCGCTACCTGTCGGCCTACAATAAATGTACCAATGAAGAGGAAAAACGCTGCTCAGTGGAATTGAAGTGGCGCGAAAAATTATACCACCGGAAACACTGAAGAAATTAGGACCTCAAGTTTCCCGTCGAATTTATTTATTTATGTCAACCCGTGATGGTGACGCAATCATTGATTGAATTTTCTAACGATTTAGTTAATCACTTAAATGTGAGTTACAATTTTTACTTTTAATTGCTCGTGTTTTGATTATATTATCACCCATTACAATAATTTCTTACCTTTCAATTAATGATTATCATTAATTTCCTTTGGTATTTTCAACCTTAATTGTTGATCGTTGAATGTTTTTTCTTAATACTCATTGTTTGTTGTAATTAATAAAGACAATAGTTTGGTTAATGTGATAAATCTACGTTTTGTAGATAATAATACAAAATCTACATTAATCAAAGTTATTAGAATCAAATGTTTATTGAAATTAGGGAAAGATGTTAATGAATTAAAATCTTCATAAAACATATTCAAATCAATTCCGTTCCAATCATCACATTTAAATGGATCAATTTTATCAAAAAGGTAACAATTATAATCACTTGAACAATCAATATAATCGTTAATTGTTGAACATGTTGCCTGAGTTGTTAACGTTGACGTTTTATTGATTGTAGTTGTTAAATTGTTACTTTCAGGCTTAGCATATAATCTAGATCTCATTGGCCATTTCTGATTAATTAAAGAGACAAAATTAAGATGAAGAGTTAACAAATTGTTACAATTAAATTCATTCAATTAATTCACTTACCTTAATTGGATGTAAAATTTTTTCATTCATTGTCTCTTTACATTCAATCAAATTGGTTGAATTTTCTGTTGATGTTGATTGGGTTGATTCACTTTCATTGAGTAAATTAGTTAAATGGGAAATATAATCAGTGGCTAATATAAGAACATCTAATTTTGATAATTTAGTGTCCGCTGGGATCGTTGGAATTGATTGTTGTAATTGTTGGAATGCTAATCTCAATGATCGGACTCTTGATCGCTCACGAGCAGCATTTTTACCCGTTTCAATTGGAACCGTTAATTGTGATGATTTAACCAACCGATTTTGTCGACAATTTGATTTACTCATCACAAGAGACAATCAAACAATCAAATTAAAGTCCCACAAGCAAAAAAAACAACAATCAGACAAGATGATCTCCTTTGGATAACAAGCACTAAGACAATTTATTAATTGTTCCTATTGATTTAAAACTTTCCAACTGATTGTTGTAAATGTGACCAATGTTAATCGTGATCTAGTAAATATACAAGAATAAAGTTAATTGTGATTTAAGGAGCCGCCTCTTAATCCTAATTGTAATTTGATACAATTTACCAAGGGGCTGATTAGTTTTCCTTTTGACAATTAATCACGATTTCTAAATCGTTTTAATTTACATTCAATTTCCTTTGGTTCTAATACTTTATATTAATATATTCAGGAAGTAATTGATTGTTTTGACAGTTGATTAATTAATCGATTATAGTTTTCTAATTGTTGGTGTGATTAAACTAATTTTTTACCAATTTAATAGCTAACCAAGAATCTGGATCAGCCCACAAAATGTGATTGAATTTCAATTTCCATCTCGAAGCAAAAGTTAATTGTGATCGAGAACTTAATCACCCAATTGTCTCAGTTTCTTAATTGAAAATCTCGGGATTGGAATTGTTTCTGGTACTTCATAGAAAAGGGAATTGAAAATCAGAACTTATTGGTATTGAAGGTGATCGATGATCATTATTACAAGAAGAAACAAAACTCGCGTTTAACTCAAGGTGAACCTAACGGTTTTTCAGTTTGACCATAAAAAAGACAAAAAAATCACATTTATGAATTCGATTTCCTTACTTTACTCAAAAAAGCGATCATGTTGATAGCATGATCGATGCTTGTTGAAATAATTGAACATCAACTGAATTGAATGAAGATGGTTATGTGATTAGCTGAATATACTGATCGTTGAATTTATTAGGTATACACTAAGGTTGATTCTTAATGTTTGTAAATTTAGATTGATCATTAGAAAATTAGATTTTTGTTACAGAGGTGATTTCACTTAGAGCATATAAGTTTTCTGTATGAATTTCTATTTGAAGAATTGCTTTAAGATGTGTTGATTTCGTTTACATTTGTTTGTAAATGCAATAGAAATTGTGACAAACAAGCAAAAGTAACTTTGATGACAGAAATTTTGTGAAAACGTTGATGAAATGGTTAATTACTGCGTAGTTATCTTGATATTTTTCGATTTAGTCTAAATAGTCAGAAAGATAAACTAACTTAATTTATGTTTTAGTTTATTCAGGTAACTTTATCGGGGCAAAAACAACACGTTGATATTGAAAGAAAATCGCATAAAAGGAGAAAACATTTGAAAAGGAGAACTACTGTATATTGAAATTAAGTTTTAATCTGAACAAGTGAAAATTTCTAACAATTAAAATTTAAAGTTTAAATGACGATAAAAATAATGAGTTTCAATCCATTTTTTTTGTTCATCTTCATTTTCATGGGACTTATGTCATCTTTATCCTGCCGGTATCCTGGGTCTGATTCATATTCATATTCTGATTCTGGCGCTGGTGCTGAGTGCTGGTGCTAGTGCTGGTGCTAGTGTTGGTGGTGGTGCTGGGGCTGGTGGTGGTGGTGATGGTGGTGATGGTGGTGGTGGTGGTGCTGGAGCTGGTGCTGGTGCTGGTGCTGGTGCTGGTGCTGGTGCTGGTGCTGGTGCTGGTGCTGGTGCTGGTTAATGTTATGGTGTTTCCCGATTTATTCATCTCTGTTTTAATCAGTGTAAGTTCTGAGTGTTAGAAAAATAAAATTTAATTTAATTATAATTTAATTTCTTTGCGTGGCTATTTCATTCACTCTCTATTAAAATTTTGTTAGAGTGTTGTGAGGGAAAATGTCCATCGACGCATTTGATACTGCTTCAATGAAATACTCCTGAGGTTGATTCCATCTTGAACCCACTGATTAAATTTACTTGGATAGTCTTTCCACGAAGCGCTCTTTTTCTTTTTGTTTTTGATTTATTCTCGTTTTAATATCTTCTCGATCTGATATAAACTTGGCTCTATGGCTGGTACTAGTTCATTGTGGTAAAAAACTGAAGCTATTCTTTCACCAGCATAATCTTCCAACCAATAAACCCAGCCTTGTGGTGTCCTCTTGTGTTTGCTAATAGTAAATATTTCAGTTTGAAATTTCTTTTCGATCCTTTCTCGAAAATTCCTTTCTCTCTTCTTATCCGAACCTTTGAACCAACGGTAAATGGTTTATAATTTATTTTACTTTTGGGATGAGTTTTTCTTATATTTTTCAGTACCAATGAAGAGTTTTCATCGTTCACTTCTACTGGTGACATACCAATTGTTCGATGAAAAGATTCATTATATGACTGGATTATTTCGTCAAGTACATCGATGAATTTTCCAGTATTTGCATGGTGCAAGTACCGGTAAATCCGTGCTCTTACGGTACCGTTGAATCTTTCAACAATAGCACATTTAATTGTTCCATCGGTAGCGAAAAAATGGTTGATTTTTCTGCCTCATTAATGTTTTGAAGTCTGAGTTTGAAAACTTTACCTTGATCACTTTGTAACTTTCTGGTACTCTATTACTATCCAAAAATATCATCAAGAGCCTGAACGACTTCAATACTAGTCTTCTTTCTGATTGCACGTGACCAGGCAAACCTACTGAAACAGTCAATTACATTAAGTAAATAACGGTAACCATCATTATATTGACTAACCCAAGACATGTCCATCAAATCAATCTGCCACTGCTCATCAATCTTATTAACCAAAATTGGTAGTCTAGGAATTTTTGTTTTGTTTGAAAAGCGTATATGTATCTGCTTTCTCAACCATTTTTGACATCAGCTAGTTTCACTGTAGGGTCTCTTCTTTTCAATGCTTTGTATAATCGGTCAACTCCACCAAATGATCCTATCGCTTTCGGTGAGTAATATTCTCTTTTGTAATGTTGGATGCTTTCAGCCATGATATGTTAACTTGTTTCAATTTTTCTTTAGCTTTAGGGTTAATTATAAGGTTCAAACACTCTCTGCAGTTTTCTTTTATGTACTTTAGTACTTCTGTAGTTCCATTTGGTGCTCTCCCGATATAGTTTTTTGTCTTCAAATATTCAACTACTTTCTCAATATCACTACCCTTTATTTTTCCCTCGTCATTAAATATCTTATTATCATCGTCAACTAAATCAGACTCTTTTTTCAATATTGACAATAAATCTTTATCAACTACCCGTGTGGTCTGTGGTGTTGACGATTCTCGTCTATGAAATGCTCGCTGAGAAATCGTTGGTGTTTCATTGACTTCTTTATTGTAAGTGTTATCCAAAACTGTATGAAAAGAATCTTCAGAGTCTTCGTCAGATTTGACATAATCATCTCCATTGTTCTCTCCTTCGTCTCCCTTTTTCAAATCTTGGTACATTCGATATCGCGCTGTTAATTCATTCCTAAGACGGTTCTCATCCTTTTCTTTCACCTTTTCTTTTTTTATATCATCTTTCATCATCATTTGGTTTATCATTTTCATTTTTATACTTGTAGGTAAATCCGAACTCATAATTGGATCGAAGTCTATTTGTCTCTTTTTAACATTGTTTTTATATTGATCTTAGGGTATCAACACCATTCTACTTGTTGAATTCATTCTGCAATTTGTTTTGTAATTAAATTGGCGAGAATAGTTATAGCTGGCACAAGTAAACCTTTTAGTAAACCACCTTTTTGAATTAAAATTTTTTTAGCTTTTTGACGTGTTATCTTACCACCAAGACTTCGAATTTCCTTTTTAAATTTTTTTACACGAGCTTTTTGTTTAGTTGTTAAATGTATATGACCTTTCAATATTTTACGAGCTATTTCTTTTATAACTTGCATCACATTACATGGACATGTTAGCATCAATTTTTTACGCTCATTCTTTTTTCTAGCCTGACTCAACTTTTTTAAAGCTGGTAAAACGGTAATTGCTTTTGAAACAGACATTTTTTAGAATCAACTTTATTTAATTTTTTCTTATACAATTTAGATTTGATTTATTTCTTTTTCTCCCAATACATCTGTTAGTAATCTAACTTCATCTGGTGTATCTGGTTTACAGTCAATAAACAGGTATGAGAAAGGACTTTGTGTTGCATGTTCAAATATTTGTCTGAATTGTGATGAACGTCCTGGAAACATTTGCTTGGCTAACATTGTTGATATTGATTTATCTCTTGGGTTTTTGAAAAGAACAATATAATGAGAGTTAAGAGAAATATTTCTTGCTTCACCACCTTTGATAAAAAAGTTTTGTACCAGTAAAATAACAGAAAGATTCCTATGATGACTTCCTTTCGTAAACAGTTGTGATACGATTTTTGAATTAGACGATTCATCAAATCATCAATTATTATTAAATGGGCTTTCTTACCGTCAATTTTATCAAATAAATTTTCAGGTAAGCCCTTTATAAACTTAACACTTTCCATTTCATTGAAAATTGGTTGATATTCTGCATAAAAATAGGTTATAAGTGTTGGTACTGGACTTATTATTTTCTCTCTGTTTTCAATTAGTTTTTTACCCAAAATGATTTCCCATCCACTTGGGCCAGAAACCATCATCGTAAATGGATGTCTCAAGTAAATTGAATACATTTTCACTCATTTTTTCTCTCAATTTACTCATCTTATATAATTCAAATTTTCTCGAAACAATTTCTACACAAATTTTTTATCCATCACAATCTTAATTTCAAGGTAAATGCTTTTAACAGAAGAGCTGCATTAGAGGCGTACGGTGCATTTAAAGCGTACGGTGCATTTGAAGCGTACGGTTCCATACTATGAATTGTTCCAACATATTAATATATTTATCTGAATTCATGTTTTTATCACAAAAAACAATATCAGTGTTTCCATTGAAACTTATCCCAGCCCATATCATGACACCACCGCCGCCAAATTGCCGTTTGGAGAATGTAACTTCTTCGTTGTTCAAGTTTCTCCAGTGACATTGGAATCCATCAGGACCATCCAAATTGAATCTCTTCTCATCAGAGAACATCACCTTGAACCAATTGTCACCAAAATCAACATGATTCGTAGCGAAATTCAAACGAGCCGATTGATGATCAATTGTAAGTGGCGGCTTCTTATTTGGTTTCCTGAATTCTATGTTTTCAGCTCTTCTGGCGGCTCGATAAACGGTTGTTCGGTGGCAATCCAAGGTAAGTTCCCTTCGTACTTCTTCACATGATTTTTTTTCGTCGGTTAACATGCGAAGAACATGACGAACATCACGATCGTCGAGCTTTCGTTTGGCTCCCGGTCGATTTTCTTGTTCATATCGATCAGGGTTCGAAAGGAAATTGTGTATCGCCGTTTTAGATCGACCTAATTTATCGGCAATGAACCTTTCTGATTTCCCTTGTTCCTTGTAAGCGATAATTTGGCCTATTTCTCGATCATTTAAATCTTTTCCTCGACCCATTGCGTAACTATCACAACTATTAAAATAATCAAAATTTATAACTTTTTTTGGTGAAATATGGTAAGTTGATGTGAACACTTTGAATATACTTGTTTAAATTGAAATTCTGTCCATAGAAAATGCTATTTATATATGTTTTTATTAATTGGTCTTAATTCAGTGCAACAAGATTTCTGGTCAACATATGTGACGGATTAAAATTAGCGTCTAATCAGTGCTAATTGTCGGTTATTTCCGAATAATTAAGTTAATCATTTGTTTCTTTAGTCCATATGACTAGAAATAATCACTAATTATCTCTGATTCTGTTTAAATCATGATATCGACACATGGTCTTAATCCAATGCATCGTAGTGTATGACCAATGTTAATCGTCATCTAGTAAATTTACAAGAATAAAGTTAATTGTGATTTAAGGAGCCGCCTCTTAATCCTAATTGTAATTTGATACAATTTACCAAGGGGCTGATTAGTTTTCCTTTTGACAATTAATCACGATTTCTAAATCGTTTTAATTTACATTCAATTTCCTTTGGTTCTAATACTTTATATTAATATATTCAGGAAGTAATTGATTGTTTTGACAGTTGATTAATTAATCGATTATAGTTTTCTAATTGTTGGTGTGATTAAACTAATTTTTTACCAATTTAATAGCTAACCAAGAATCTGGATCAGCCCACAAAATGTGATTGAATTTCAATTTCCATCTCGAAGCAAAAGTTAATTGTGATCGAGAACTTAATCACCCAATTGTCTCAGTTTCTTAATTGAAAATCTCGGGATTGGAATTGTTTCTGGTACTTCATAGAAAAGGGAATTGAAAATTAGAACTTAATGGTATTGAAGCTAATCGATGATCGAGGATCATTATTACAAGAAGAAACAAAACTCGGGTTTAACTCAAGGTTAACCTAACGATTGTTCCGTTTGACCATAAAGACAGAAAATATCACATTAATGAATTCGATTTCCTTACTTTACTCAAAAAGCGTTTATATTGATAGCTTATAATTGAGCATCAACTGAATTGAATGACGATGGTTATGTGATTAGCTGAATATACTGATCGTTGAATTGTTAGGCAAACACTAAGGTTTTTTCCCTTTTTGATTCTTAATATTTGCAGATTGATCATTAGAAAATTAGACTTTTGTTAATTATAACAAGTTTTCTTATATAATTTTTCATTGCTGTTTGAATTACCAGAGAATTACTTTTAGCTGTGCTTCTTTTTAAAAGTAAATATTCAAAATGAGTTTTCGTTTTCATTTGTTTGGAAAAGCAATGGAAAACTGTGACAAACAAGCAAAAGTAACTTTGATGACAGAAATTTTGTGAAGACGTTAACGGTTAATTATTGAGTAGTTAGCTTAATCTAAATTAACTAGACAAATAAACTAACTAATTTATGTTTTGGTTTGTTCAGGTAACTTTATCGAGGCAAAAACAACACGTTGATATTGAAAGAAAGTCGCATAAAAGGAGAAAACATTTGAAAAGGAGAACTATATTGAAATAAGTTATCATCTGTATAAGTTAAATTTTTAACAGTTAAAATCTAAAGTTTAAATCGCGATAAAAATAATGAGTTTCAATCCACTTTTGGTCGTTAATTTTTTTTTGTTCATCTTCATTTTCATGGGACTTATGTCATCTTTATCCTGCCAGTATTCTAGATCTGCTCCTGATAATGTAACTAGTGGTGGCTATGGTGGTGGTTACGGTCAGCGTTCTGGTTCTGCCGCTGCCGCTGCCGCTGCTGCTCGTTCTAATGGTGCCGCTGCTGCTTCTTTTGGTTCTCTTGCTGGTGATAGTGCTTGCCATCAGGGTTCTGGTTCTGATGTCGCTGACGCTGCCGCTGCTGCCGGTGCTGCTGCTGCTCGTGATTATGTTGGCTATGGTGGTGGTAATCAAGGTCAGGGTGGTTTCGGGGGTTCTAGACCTGGTTCTGGTCACGGTCACGGTCAGGGTTCTGGTTCTGGCCGCTAGTCTTTGGTCACCTCGTCAAATTCAAGAGACTCTTCACCTTTATTCCAATTAGGAAATGGTGGAGTTAATGCAGACAATCTTTCAGAAATTTTCAGTAGCATTGCTTCTTCAGTTTGGAAATCTAATCCTGATTTGAGTCAATGTGAGATCTTGGTTCGAACCTTATCTGAAGTATTTATTCCATTAGCAAACATATTAAGTAGCTCATCCGTTTGATATGTAGATGCAGGATCAGCTAGTCAAGCTGTAAATGCATTTGCTCAATCAGTAGGTAGTGTAATTGTAAAATAATGTAGTAATTCACTTCACAATTTATTCATTTCTGTTTAAATCAAAGAAAATTCTGAGTGTTGAAAAATAACATAAATAAAATATTAAAAAGGTAGTACTGGGTGACAAATTGATTCCCACAATCTTTTTTTTGAAATTGCCGCTTTATTACTTTGACAATCGAGCTAATATTTCATAGGTGGACTAAAGGGTCAAAAGGAAATTGTTTGCGAGTAAAAAAATTTTTTTGAAAATTTCAACCAAAATGCATGTATTAGACAGTCAAGTTAATTTACATAAATGTCTCGCCCATTGAAAATCAATGGAAAATTCGAAAAAATTTTTTTACCTCTAAACAATTTCCTTTTAGCTGCTCATCAACCTCAGAAAATCTTAGAACAAAAAAACAAGTAATAAAAAAGTTATTCAAAAAAAAAGATTGTGGGAATCAATTTGTCACCCAGTATCTTATATGCTGTATTAAGACCTACCATTTGCTAACTTCATGAATTCGTTTCTGGTTTCCATATGATTGTATGATCCTAGAATAGTGGTTTTGATATATTGTTATTGATATATTAATCCAGCACTCCCGGTTCTTCTTCAATGTTTGCATCAAAATGTGAATCTTAATTGTGTGATTAGATCAAAATTCTCTAAAATCTGATGATTAGTTAATCCAGTTCAAACTTATTTGAATATGTGACTTCACTTTTGGATACTTATGACAAAAACTTAACCCTAATCCTCTATGGATTTGACAAATATAATAATCAAAAGAATCAGAAAACGTCAGTATCGAGCTAAAATGGGTTTAGCCAAAGAACCAATAAAAACAAAGACATCCTACCATGTGTGAAAAAAAGTGACCTGGACTTGGCTCTATTTGACCTTCAAGTAAAACTAACAGAATCACCAACTTACTCAAGCAAACGTGTCCACATTATACAAACGGAAACACCAACTGATCTTTGTCACATTATTTGGTGCCATTCAAAAGCAACGGCAATGTGTTCAATTAAAAAATCGCAACAGGAACAACAAGGTCTTGAATGGTATGCACAAAATGACGGCTATGGGTCAGTCGATATTAACACCGATAGTGATATAACCTCCCTTTGGGTCAAACAGCTGATGTCCTTTACCAAAATGTCCGAGGAAATGGCCAAATCGATAGCTGAGGTTTACCCGTGCCCACAGTCGCTTCTGTCGGCCTACAATAAATGTACCAATGAAGAGGAAAAGGAAACGCTGCTCAGTGGAATTGAAGTGGCGCGAAAAAATTATACCACCGGAAACACTCTGAAGAAATTAGGACCTCAAGTTTCCCGTCGAATTTATTTATTTATGTCAACCCGTGATGGTGACGCAATCATTGATTGAATTTTCTAACAATTTAGTTAATCACTTAAATGTGAGTTGTAATTTTTACTTTTAATTGCTCGTGTTTTGATTATATTATCACCCCAACAACAATTAGTTACTGTAATTTCTTACCTTTCAATTAATGATTATCATTAATTTCCCTTTGAGTATTTTCAACCTTAATTGTTGATCGTTGAATGTTTTTTTTCTTAATACTCATTGTTTGTTGTAATTAATAAAGACAATGATTTGGTTAATTGTGATCAAATCTATCGTTTTGTAGATAATAATACAAAATCTACATTAATCAAAGTTAATTGTATCAACTGAATGTATGTAATGAAATATTGAATCAAATGTTTATTGGAAATTAGGGAAAGATGTTAATGAATTAAAATCTTCATAAAACATATTCAAATCAATTCCGTTCCAATCATCACATTTAAATGGATCAATTTTATCAAAAAGGTAACAATTATAATCACTTGAACAATCAATGTAATCGTTAATTGTTGAACATGTTGCCTGAGGTATTAACGTTGACGTTTTATTGATTGTAGTTGTTAAATTGTTACTTTCAGGCTTAGCATATAATCTAGATCTCATTGGCCATTTCTGATTAATTAAAGAGACAAAATTAAGATGAAGAGTTAACAAATTGTTACAATTAAATTCATTCAAATAATTCACTTACCTTAATTGGATGTAAAATCTTTTCATTCATTGTCTCTTTAACTTCAATCAAATTGGTTGAATTTTCTATTGGTGTTGATTGGGTTGATTCATTTTCATTGAGTAAATTAGTTAAATGGGAAATATAATCAGTGGCTAATATAAGAACATCTAATTTTGACAATTTAGTGTCCGCTGGAATCGTTGGAATTGATTGTTGTAATTGTTGGAATGCTAATCTCAATGATCGGACTCTTGATCGCTCACGAGCAGCATTTTTACCCGTTTCAATTGGAATCGTTAATTGTGATGATTTAATCAACCGATTTTGTCGACAATTTGATTTACTCATCACAAGAGACAATTGAACAATCAAACAATCAAATTAAAGCCCCACAAGCAAAAAACACAACAATCAGACAAGATGATCTCCTTTGGATAAAAAGCACTAAGACAATTTATTAATTGTTCCTATTGATTTAAAACTTTCCAACTGATTGTTGTAAATGTGACCAATGTTAATCGTGATCTAGTAAATATACAAGAATAAAGTTAATTGTGATTTAAGGAGCCGCCTCTTAATCCTAATTGTAATTTGATACAATTTACCAAGGGGCTGATTAGTTTTCCTTTTGACAATTAATCACGATTTCTAAATCGTTTTAATTTACATTCAATTTCCTTTGGTTCTAATACTTTATATTAATATATTCAGGAAGTAATTGAATGTTTTGACAGTTGATTAATTAATCGATTATAGTTTTCTAATTGTTGGTGTGATTAAACTAATTTTTTTACCAATTTAATAGCTAAACAAGAATCTGGATCAGCCCACAAAATGTGATTGAATTTCAATTTCCATCTCAAAGCGAAAGTTAATTGTGATCGAGAACTTAATCACCCAATTGTCTCAGTTTCTTAATTGAAAATCTCGGGATTGGAATTGTTTCTGGTACTTCATAGAAAAGGGAATGGAAAATCAGAACTTATTGGTATTGAAGGTAATCGATGATCATTATTACAAGAAGAAACAAAACTCACGTTTAACTCAAGGTGAACCTAACGGTTGTTCCGTTTGGCCATAAGAAGACAGAAAAGATCACATTCATGAACGCGATTTCCTTACTTTACTCAAAAAAACGATCATGATGATAGCATGATCGATACTTGTTGAAATAATTGAGCATCAACTGAATTGAATGGAGATGTTTATGTGATTAGCTGAATATACTGATCGTTGAATTTATTAGGTATACACTAAGGTTGATTCTTAATGTTTGTAGATTGATCATTAGAAAATTAGACTTTGTTAAAGTAGTAGTAAAACCCAACACGATAGACCACATCTCTCTTTCTTTTTCTCTTTCTTTTTGGACATTATAAACCACCTAAGGTTGTCCTTAGACTAGCAGTAATTTTCAGGTGGCGCCCTTGTGATGTCATTAAAATTTGAAGTCAAACCAGTCTTTTCAGTCTTCAACCCCCCTTACTAATTTCGGTACCTCCGAAATTTGTTGTGGGGGGGTAATGTTAATTCAATGGACTCAAGGCTCTTAGGCTATTTCAATGTATTTTAACATCAAACAAGTCTTTTGGATCTTCAACCCCCCTTACTAATTTCGGTACCTCCGAAATTTGTTGTGGGGGGTAATGTTAATTCAATGGACTCAAGGCTCTTAGGCTATTTCAATGTATTTTAACATCAAACAAGTCTTTTGGATCTTCAACCCCCCTTACTAATTTCGGTACCTCCGAAATTTGTTGTGGGGGGGTTGATGTTAATTCAATGGACTAAAGGCTCTTAGGCTATTACAATTATCAAACCTTAACTCTGTAAGACTTTGTTCATTCAAATAAAATGATTCATTGAAATTTGTTTTAATTACTCGGAATTGGTTAGAGATTGAAAGTCGGGAAAACTCGTTGTGATTGGGAATATAATACTGTATATTACATACAATATAGTATAAATCTATTGTCTTTGTTGAGAAATTGACCTTGTTTCGATGACTGAGATGATAATAATCTCGATGAATAGGGGAAAGATGAATTGAATTAATGATAAAGTCTTAAGTAAAGTTACCTTGGGTATACTCAAAACAAGTTTATCACCAATCAAATTGACAGAAAGAGGGAGTAGTGGGTTGGGCTATACATCAATCGGAGAGTATAAATATGGAGACTCTTCAACATGAAGTTCATTCTACTCTTCACCTCTGAACCATCAACTTGAAATGGATTCAACAAATATTCCTGACTCTCCTGCTTCACCTGAACCAACTCAACTTGAACCAACTCAACCTGAACGAACTCAACCTGAACCAACACAACAAGAACCATCACAACAAGAACCAACACAACAAGAACCAGTACAACAACCAACAACTCAACCACCATCTGGAAGAGATAGACCATCAACATCAGGTTTTGAAGATCGGTTTCAACAATTGCTCTGTGTTGAAATTTCTCCAAAACTTTATCTTACTGTTCAGCGAGCTAAATCAACTAATGGAACTACATTCATTGATATCCGTCGACGAATGGAACGATTCATCAATGGATCAAAGACTCAGATACCAACAAGACAAGGATTGTTTCTTCGTTACAATGAATATGATCTGTTGAAACAAAAATTGGTAAATCCTCAAGATGCTTTCAAACTGTCTTTGAATCAAGGAAGAGAAATCATTGGAAGGGATTTTGGTAACTTTTTTGAAATTCGACTAAAAGCTGGCCACAAGGAAACACTTATCAAACTATTACCAAACGAACTTACTAAAATGGTTGGTCATTCTATTCCTAACCATATTTTTGCTGCAATGCAAGAAATTATTTGGGAATAATTTTCTCATTCATTTGATTTTAACTTTATTCTTGGGTAATTTGGTTTACTTTTTTATATTTCATTTATATTCTTGATTATTTTCTTTTATTTTATCAACAATTATGTAACCATTTATCATTGATTAAAAAAAATTTGAGCTCAATTGAACTTGTTTTCTTGTTTCATCCCTTGACCGGTCTTTAAAGTTGTTTGAATTACCTGATTGGTTGAATTAATTTGGGTTGGCTAAAGGTAAGGGAGACAATTTTCTCCCTCACTGATTATAAAAGATGATGATGTTTGTTGTACCAAGAGAAACAAAAGTACAATCATGACTTATGTAAGTTGACTTGTTGATTAACTAAGGTAAATTTACTAATCTTTCTTTTTTCTAATAGGGATATGATTTTCAAGCTTTTAGGTCAATAGACATACCATTTGCCAGAGAGGTCTGTTATACTTTTGACATAAAGACTTCGTTGAAATTGAGAAGATGGTTGGACAGTTCGGGTATAATTGAGCCGTATGATTTGGTCTTTTCAATGAGTGAGCTGTGGACTGGATTCAATGATCTTGGTATCAGTCATTCGATTACTCAGGAGAAGGTGGAGACAGCGTCTTTACTATTTCGTATGAGGACTATTTCATTTATAAAAAGAAATTGGTCAAATGTGGGCCAAGAATATATATTGTTTTAAAACCGAAATAATATATTAAACTTTTTTTTACTTTACTTTTGATTTTTGTCTTTCATTTCGGTTAATAATGGTACTTTTAACAATCGTTGTAGTTTCAATATTGGTACTAATTCTTCTCATTCTGAGGATAGTACTGATTGACTTGAATAAGATTCAAAATCTAAAGTTGGCTTGATCATGTGACATCCAGGTGTCCATTCACTATATAAGTCAATCCACATTCTCATTGAAACTTCAATCATGTTCAAGTGTAGCTACTGTGGAGTTTCATTTATGAAATTCAAGTCCATGTTAATTCACAAGGTAGAATGTGAGACTTTGAAATGTGAAAAGTGTAAAATAAGATTCAAGGACCGAGATACATACATTAACCATGTGATTATCTGCAAGACAATAGTCTCTTCTCTCGGTGATGTAGCATCCTTTAGGTTACACAAAGTAGCTTATAAGGGTGTCCTCAAGATCTTTGTCAAGTTGGGTGAATGGAAGTCATTGGAAAATTTATTCAACATGGAAAGTACAAATATCGTTACTCTTTTCAAGTATATACTTGAGAGTATCGGGTCATTTAAAGCTCAAGCTTGTTTACTATTGAAATTTGTGAAACAGAAACCTGATGGAGAGATTGACTCAACTGAACTTTATAAAATCACTCAAAGTAAACCAATTTCTCATACTTCTCATATTGAAAAGTCAATAAATGAATGGGCAACAAACTTGGAGCTTGTCGTTGATCAATTCACCCAACGTGGAAGTGGATGGATCCTGTCGAAAGTTAAAATGTTGGAAATTCGGATTGGAAAACTAAAAGAATACAGTGGTGGTTGCTGTAACGTAAAATTACCTTTAATTTATTTGAAAAAGAGAAGTTTAATTTCTCCACAATGTAAAAGTGATTGCTTCAAATGGGCTGTTCTCATCTCTCTTCATCCACAGACAGATAATCCAGGACGGATATCTCAGTATAAAAAATTTGAAAAATTTTACAATTTCAGTGATATTGAACCAATCACACCATTTTCCAAGATTAAATTTTTTGAAAAACGAAACAATATATCGGTTAATGTTTATACATTATCAGGAGGTAAAAATCAAAAAGTGGTTCCCTTGTTAGTCAACAAAGATAGAAAAAAGAATCATGTAAATCTCTTTCTTTATAATGATCATTACTTTACAATCACCAATTTAAATGGATTCATGTGGAGAAATAAATCTTGGGAAAGATTTTTCTGTTGTTCTTGTCTATCAGGCTTTGAGGAAAAATTGTCATGTTTGTTTACAGCCTCTTCTCGAAGATAAAGTCTTGGATCATTGTCACTTAACTGGCAAGCTAAGAGGAGCAGCTCATAATCTCTGTAATTTGAAATTGAGATTACCAAATAGAATTCCTGTCATTTTTCATAACTTGAAAGGTTATGATGCTCATTTAATCATGAAAGGAATCAAGTCCAATACTGTGAGAAACATTTCAGTTATTCCCCAAAACACTGAAAAATATATTGCCTTTTTCATGGATGATTTCATTTTCTTGGACAGTTTAGCTTTTCTTCTTTCCAGTCTTGATACATTGGCTGGGAATTTACCTGATGAACATAAATCTAAATATTTATCACAAATGTTTGCTGAAAATGATCTTCCTTTACTTCTATCTAAAGGATGTTTACCTTATGAGTACATGGACTCTTGGGATAAGTTTAATGAGACCAATTTACCTTCCATTGATGCATTTTATTCTCATCTCTCTCGTAAAACAATTGATGAATCAACATATACAAATCTACAGAAAATTTGGGACCATTTCAATTGTCAAAATCTTGGTGATTTTCATGACATTTACTTGAAAGTTGATGTTTTACTTTTAGCTTCAATATTTGAAAACTTTAGGTCAACTAGCCTTAAACAATTTGGTCTTGATCCATGTCACTATTTTTCGACACCTGGATTGACTTGGGATGCAGCTCTAAAAGTGACAAAAACAAAGCTTGATTTACTAACCGATATCGATATGATTCTAATGATTGAGAATGGAATTAGAGGTGGAATCTCTTGTGCAATGACGAGACATGTAGTTGCCAATAATCCTCTCTCTGAAAACTATGATGATGGAAAACCAAATTCATACATTGCCTTTCTTGACGTTAATAACCTTTATGGTTATGCTCTAAGTGATTATTTACCAATCAACAATTTCGAATGGGTAGCCCCTGAGTTGTACTCTCGAGTGATTGAATCAATTTTACAAGGACATGATTCAAGTATCGGATACATTTGTCAAGTTGATTTAATTTACCCTAAACATCTTCATGATCAACACAATGATTATCCCATGGCCCCTGAGAAACTCACTGTTGAAACTGAATGGTTGAGTAATTACCAGAAAAGACTCATCATTAAACTTGAGGGTGAAGGACTAAAAGATGTAAGACTGAAAAGTTGATTCCAAATTGAGAGAGATAAAACTACGTTGTACATGAAAGAAACTTGAAATTTTGGTTAGAGAAAGGGAAGTCTTGGATAAAGTTCATTCAATTTTGAAATTCAATCAATCAAAATGGTTGGAACCTTACATTTCAATGTGTACACTAAATAGAAAACAAGCCTCTTCATCATTTGAGAAAGATTTCTGGAAATTGATGGTAAATTCATTGTATGGTAAAAGTATTGAGGATAAACGAAAACACTCTAAAGTCAAAGTGGTTACAAATGGTGAACAAGCTCTTAAACTAATCAGACAACCAATGTTTGAACATTTTTATATTCTTGATAATGATTTGGCTATTATTAAGATGCGTAAATTTGAAGTTAAATTGGATAAACCGATTTACCTTGGTTTTACTGTATTGGAATTATCAAAGCTTAGAATGTATGAGCTTCACTATGATTACTTTTATCCTCGTTATGGTTATAAATTGAAGTTAGTATACACTGATACTGATAGTTTCATTTATCATATTCAGACTGATGATTTTTATGAAGATCTAAAGTCAATGGGACCAATCATGGACTTTTCCGATTACCCTCAAACTCATTTTCTGTATGATCCAATAAACAAAAAGAAACTTGGAGTCTTGAAAGATGAAATGAATGGTCAAGTAATTGACGAAGTTGTTGCCATTAAATCAAAACTTTATGGAATAAAATATGGATCAAAAACTAAAAAGACGGCCAAGGGAACTCAAAAAGCAACAGTTCGTGATGAAATTTGTATAGATGATTACAAGACCTGTTTATACGACAGTATTTTATTTAGACATGATAATCATAGATTACAATCTAGACACCATGAAATCTCTGGAATTAAAACAAACAAAATATCTTTATCACCATTAGATTACAAGAGATTCATTCGTGAAGATGGAATATCAACATATGCTTTTGGACATTATAAAATTGTTTAATAAATTTTGTTTAATATGTAATCGTTAACTTTTGTTTTACATTTAATAAGTGGGAAATTTAAATTATTAAAATGTGATTCAAGAAAAAGAATACAATAGTAACCACATTTGATTGATAAATCACCTTGAAATATATTTTGATTATATTTAAAAGAGTGATTCTTACAATTTCTTTCCAAGAAAATAGTTATTTCATCAGGGGGATGAGTACCAAATGAGTCGAAATATTCACCATTACCATACTCTGAGACAAATATCGCTGTCCAATGAGAACCTGGTTTCCAGCTAGGATCTAGATTGATTACAATACCAAAGGGTTTCTCAAATAGTTCAAAGGGTAACTTATCAATTGATAATACACCTTTAAATTGACGAAATTTATTTAGATAATTTTCAATGTCAACTGTCGATAAAGCCATCAATAATCTGTTGTTATATTCCTTGAAGAATTTATTTGAATCACACTATCATATATTCCAAAGACAATCATGTGTAATCCTTCAGTCAGAGCTTCAGTAAACTGTATATAAATTCGAGCACTTCCCCTTTTAATCATTGAGAGAGCACCAGAGTCTGTAGCTAAAGTACCATCATCTGTAAGATCAAATACAAACAATGGGTACTTGTCAGCATAATCAGAGTACTTGATATTAATTTTAGGCATTCCAAACTCTTGATTCATAGCCCTGAACATGTTGTAATACTCTCTCATATAAATCTTGTTTTTAAAATCAGGTTTAAATGCTGAACTTGGAATCTTGACACCATTAACAACCAATGACATTTCCTTCATGTCTTTATGTTTAAACGAAAATGAGTTTGCCGTAATGTCACCACTGAATGATTTGTCAGTTACGAATCCAATTATTACCTTCCGTGGTAACTGTCCATTTAAACATTATCGATACTACTGGCAGCAAAACCATTCACGAGATGATAAGATTTCACTTCATTTCGTTGAAAGTAATATTTAGCCATTGATTTAGCTAGATTTTGTTCGATAGTCATCTGAACAGGCATGAATAACTTTACTCGCCTAATAAATAATGATATTTGTTCAAACTTTAATGAAATTGATCCTGACTTTGAACATGTTAAGCCAAAAGTTGCAGTTGTTTAAATCAAAACAATAGGTACTCCATCAATCAAAACTTTTCTTGTTGAAACATCGGTGCATGAATCGGTAGAATGAAATCAAATGAATTTTTAATTCGATTGACTCTTTTATCTTCATCATCTATTAATTGACAAGCATCAACAGGGGATTTATATTTGAAAAACAAATCTTCGATAAATGATTGGTAATGAAACAAACTATTACCTGTCGTTACATTCACATTACCGAGATAAACATCAAGTTCTTCAAATAATGATACACCATAGTTATTCACGGGTGTAATTGTATCTGTAGCTAGTATTGGATCTTTGTACTCAATTTTGATTTTTCCATGTAAGTAAGAAGCTGATAGATCCGTATAATGTTCAGAAGAAGGTACAACAAATTCAAAAACTTTCGCTTCATCAAGGGATCCTACAGGTCGATACTCAACATCATACATTGATTCAACAACAGTTTGTGTAGGTGGTAGTTTGAATAAATCAAGCTCAGCAATAGTGGCTGGTGATGATTCATTGTGAATAAATTCCATTATTTCTTGTTGAAAATGTCACGAGTTTTTCTTTTGATTTTCTCGTCTTGTTGACTGGTCTTTTACCTGTTGTTTTCTTTTAATTGTTTTCCTTTTATATAACCTTTTTCTTCCTTTACCTTTTTGGATACTCTCAACCTTCTGTTGAAGTTTCGTTAGACCCTTTGATGCTAGATTAGTTACACCAGTCTTGAGTGCTTGTTGAATTTTTGGGTCTTGAGCGACTTTCTTACCAAGTTGTACTCCCTTATCTAAAGCTTCCTGTCCAAGATATTTAATTAGTGGCATAGCAAGTCTTGATATAAAACTACCGAATCCGTACCCTCGTTGGTAACGTGGTGCTCTAACAACTCTAATATCACCAAATCCAGAACCAGTTTGACTTGAGTAATAATGACTAAAGTCACTATCTTTAGGACAATAAGCTTTTCGATGCATATCGATGATAGTTTAGAAAACGCTGTTGGTCTTTATACAACTTTTTTACGAAAGTCTAAACTCAGAAACATTCTTCCTTTACCCTCAAAGGCAACCTGATCTCCACTATCATATGTTGCCAATACACTTATACTTTCAATATGGTTTTTTCGAATAGGGTAATATATTCTTTGATTAAAAGTACAATACCCAATGTCCTTATAAATTCCACTTGTTAATGGGACAGCTCGAAGTACAGGAGCTTGTGTACCTCCAATCATATGATCACGTATAATATCAGTGTATAAATACATTAAAAAAATTTTATCATTTGCAGCGTCCAAATTGAATTTTAGAGACGGAGGAAGCAACTTTTCCTTATTTACATAAGACCACCAATTATCTTCCAGCTTATCAATTCCCAAGACTTTTTTTACTTTTATGTTAAATATTGGTACATAAATGCAACTGTAAATTATTCTGAAGATGGTCTTTATCCATTTTCCCAAGATAATATTTAAAAGGCATCACGTACTTGCCTTCGTTGAAAACTGAACATTGTACTTCGGATAAGCCATTCCATATGACTCTACGATTCCCATAGAATCAACACCAAAGTAGTGTACACCGATCTGTAATTTATTAGTTCCAATTTTCAACGGATAGTCAGCAGGTGTAGTCTCTTTATGTACTCGCTTGGTAACTCTTTCATCGTTTCATCGAAACTTTGCTGTAAACTCTGCAAAATTTTTCAGGAGAATCGTTCAAAAATGGAACTGTTTTCATAGGTGACTCATAAACCCAATCATTAGTTATAGAAAATTTTGTATTTCCGGTGTATGCATAAAACGTTTCACTTTTAGACTATATTTAATCTCAGCTTCCCCGGCAAATTTAAGTGGAAAATATACTTCTGTTAAAGCTGCTTCCCAATCCCCATTCAACTCCAGAGGAGGATCAATTCGATTTTGAAAAGCTGAAATTGTGTTGTCAGGGTAAAAATTCATTGATCCATTTGAAACTAGATCAATTGAGAATGAGTCTCTATCCATCCTTACTCGTCTTTTTTTCGTCCCAGATCCAAGTATCAAACTTTTTTGGCCATCCTTCCCATCGTATCAAGTGCTTATATAATCTTTTCCTTCGATCATAAACACGATCAAGTACTTTGGCCACCCAATACTCTGAATTAGGGTCATATTTAACCTTTTGGACTTCTTCTGGATAGAAAATTGATGTAATGTTTTCATCCATCAAGTCTTTCAGCTTGTAAACAGTATGACCAGGTGTCTCTTTAACTCTTGAGACTTTAAACACCTCATTAGTCCATTGTTGACTAGCACCTTTTTCACCAGTCATCAGGTTGAGAGGAATTTTCACATGATCGTCTACTTTAATTGTTCTTTTCTTTTTAGGTCTTGATTTAATTGATTTTTGAATTGTTTGAACAATTTCCTGTTGATTGTCTTTGGTCACCAAATTCGGACTTGTTTTAATTGTTCTATGGAATGAATTGTTGTAATTATCAACAATCTTTTGTAGATCATCAATATATCTATTTGATTTATTGTGATACATATACCTGTATATTCTAGCTCTTAAAGTTCTTATAAATCTTTCGGCTAATGCACATTTTATCGAATTGTCTGTTGTTGTGAAATAATGTACTCCAACACTCGAACAAAAGTCTTGAAACCTTTTGTTTTTAAATTCTTTACCTTGATCAGTCTGTAACTTTTCTGGTTTTCTTCCATTATCAAATAGTTTTCTAAAAGCACCTGTAATTGTTGATGATGATTTGTCTTTAACAGATTCAACCCAAGCAAATCGACTCAATACGTCAATTACTACCAGTAGATACCGGTTATTATTATTATCTTTAGCCCAATATGACATATCCATCAAGTCGGCTTGCCATTGTTCATCGAGTCTATCAACTAATACAGGTAAACGTGAAAAGTTCTTTTTTCTTGATCGAAAATTTGTATATGTCTCTTGACCTTGTAACCATTCTTTGACAAAATTTACATCAATACTTGGATCAACTCTCTTGGCAGCATCAAATAGTCGATTAACTCCACCAAAACTTCCATTGTTGTTGATGTCATAATAAACACTCTTTAAAAGTTCTTGACGCTTGTCCATTTTATAAGTGGGAGTGTTTTCTGTTTATTTCTCTTTTTCAATGGTCTTTTTTCAAACTCTTTAATGGCTTCTTTGAACGTCTTTTTATATTCTTCTAAAGGTGGAGGCTCAATCGGTTTTTCAACAACTTCTTGAACTTCTTTTATATTGTTTTTAAGTAATTGATATTCTTTTTCTGGAATTAACACCATTTTTGATATTGTGTTCATTACATGAACTTATTTATCAACTTTTCACCAAAATATGAAAGAGCTGGTAACAATAGTGCTGGAAGAAAAGCTCCACCTGTCTGATAAACAACTTCTTTACGCTTCTTTAATGGTACTCCTGATTTCCTTGATAGCAATCTTATTTGAGTTTTATATTTTTCAATTTTCTTTCTCTGTGTAGGATTAATTGGTATATTTCCGTTTAATGTGTTTTTACTAATATCAGAAATTGAATAGAAAATACAAGACTTTGCTTTTTTCAATAGTTTATTTCTTTCAGTCCTTGATTTCTCATGAGCTAATCTCTTTAATGTCGGAAGACATTTGATTACTCCTTCAATCGTCATGTTGATTATCGTTGAAACATCATTTTCTTTTATATAAATTATAAAGGGTAAACAATCATTGGGTCATCGTTTTCATTGAAATTGTTGGCCAATAATCTCAACTTTTCAGGTGTATCAGGTTTAAGATCAAAAAAGAGATAAGAATAAGGTTTAGATGTTGCATCTTCAAACACTCTCTGTAACTTTTTTATCTTTGATGGAAACATTTGACGAGCAATGTTTGAAATTATCGA